TATTATTATTTAAATAATATATATATATATATAATATATAAATAATTATTATTAAAAATATATTTAAAAAAATGAAATATAATATGTATTAATTAAAAAATAATATAGATATTTATAAAAATTATATTTTTAAAACAAAATAATAAACTTAAATATGCGTAAATAAAAATAAACATAAAATAAAAATATAAAAAAAATAACATATATGGTAAAAATAGAAAAGAAAAAATTAAATAAAAATTATAAAAACTTATATGAAAATTATAAAAAATTATAGAAGCATTTCTCCAGACCACTATTTGGTGCGGGTAGCACTCCAATATATACCTTTAAAAAGTAAAACTGTTTGATTTTCGATACAAAATTTATTAATAGCATGCAAAATTTTTTTGGTGTAGCTATCCGAAGCAATACAAATGGTCTGAACAAAATGAAAAATGCAATATTAGCTAGCCTTTTCCATGTAGTTTCTTCTAAGAAAAATAACTATCATATTTACTGCCCAACTGGAGGTGATATGAATTCAACATTGATAAAGCTAAGTCTTTTTCCATATAAAAACCTAGACCAAGAATTCCTGCGGATATTATTCACAAAATCAAACCATTATATGCTAATTTAAGTAAAGATTCTGAATTTGTAAAATGTCTGCATGGCAAAACCCAGAATTGTAACAACATTGGTATGAAGTCTGTCATTTTAATTTATGAAAAACTAAATATGATATCAGGACATTTTACTTTAGCTGGTAGCAGACTCTTAAACAAAAAGCGATTAAAACTATCATTATTTAAATCGAATGAAAGTTTTAAGATGAAACGAAAGATGTTACGGCGTCAACGTTTATCAAAAGATGATCATCAAAAATCAATAGAAAAGTCCAAGGAATATTATTGATCTGGTAGCTTTTGAAATATTCTTTTAAAAAGTTCTTTTTAAACAAAGAACTTTTTAAAAGAATAAAAAAAAAAATTTCATAAATATATCTTTTTAAGATATATTTATGAAATGAACAATAATTTATGATTTTATTTTTTGTTTTGCGTTCTCTGAGAACTTATATTTTAAAAAAGCCAGGAAAAAAAATCTTAAAAAGTATACATGCTATCATAATGAAATTTTTTGGGATTGTTCATTTTACCAATATTTATGATATGAGCGAAGTAGAATTTCTAATAGGACTTAAGATTTTGATTTAATTTTTTTTGTATTTTAACCTTTTTTTTAAAAACCTAATTTGTCTGTAGCCTTTCATCAAAAAAAAAATATTCAAAAATTTGCTACACTCATATCACAAATTTACATATTTAGAACAGTTCTACAAAATTTCATTAACACTCCTTTACTCCATGACTCATTTTTTTTTACACAATTTTTGTGGTATTTTCAGCTATTTTTTGTGTTGCCATAGCAACGAGCTACCATTTTATGTATATTTTGGTATTTTTAATGTCAGTATAATATTTACTATATGACTAAAGAAAAAGTTACTTTATATGTGTTGTTTTGAAACTTGACGGTAGTCGCTGCTTAAAGCATCGATTATCTGCGCTTTTCACAAGTTTTCTATACTTGTATTTTTTACAGGTATAGAAAATATACATAATATATATATAATACTTTTAACCCCCAAAGTTTTCTATGGGGGTTAAAAGTATTGACGAGTAAAGGGATCCTTTTTTTTACAGTTATGGAAACTTTTTTGGTGGTCTAAAACCATCATTTTACTACAGCTAGTTTATTTACCACTACGAAGCTATAAACATTCATATGCTTGTCAGTCTATGTTAAATTTGTGTTAAGGATGTAAATCAGAAACTTTTCTATGGATTTCTTTGTTAGAAATTTACTCCTTGAGTATACCCTTAAAGAAGCTAAATCGAAAATTAGGTAACAAATATCATTTTTTCATCAACAAAGTAAAAACAGTATTAAAAAAAAAAATTTATCAGGGATCTCAACAATAGCTTTATAATGGAAGAAGTCCAATTTATTCTAAAATAGTTTATCAAAATTAAAGAAACAAGACGCGATCACATAACTAAATTTTTTATTGAATAATAAAATAAACTTGAACTGAAATATACAACATCTATATAGGTAGCCAAACATGTAAAACGGGTTTGTTCTTTTTTTTTTTAGGCTTTAAATAACTCTAAAGTATTCTAATAAATTGAGATTATATTTGGTTAAGAGACACGAGATAAAAAATTGAAATATAAATTCAGTCATTTACCGAAATTTTAAATTTAGTACGGTTTAATTGCAATGGTACTAATCGAAGAAGCGCAAAGGTTTTTACATGGTAACTAAGTAGACACAACAGTGATTGTTACTTCATTTGATCGAGGAATTTTCAACAGTAAAAGATTAAATTAAATTTTAAATGTAAAAATTTATATAAACAAAAAAATTTAAATAAATCAATAAAAAACACCTTGGTTTTATTTGTTGGTTGTAAAAAAAAATTGTTTTATTAACAAATAAAAAAATATTTAAAAAATATGATAAACAAAAAGGCTAAATTGTTTTAAAAACATATCGATCGATGAAATTTAAAGTGCAATTTACCATGAAGTAAACACCAGTTAATGAAAACTTTCGAACAAAATAACGTCGAAGAAAAATTCTAAATCATTTTCGAATTTTTTTATTTCATTGACAACGAAAATCTCGTAAAGAAACAAATGGCGGAGACCTTAATAAACTCGACGTTTAAAACTTATGCTGCGCAAATTTAAAAAAATAAATTTCAGAAATTAATTTAATTTCTATTTTTTTAATTTATAATATTTGTATATGCATATGTATGTATATAATATTATTTGAAAAATTTTGTCTTAAGTTGATAAATACAATGTTTAAGTTTTATATTTAAATAAATTACTTAACGTAATACAACATAAATTTTAAATACATAAATAAAATATATAATATATAAAAAATTAATCAAAAAATTTCCACATAACATTACTTTAGAATCGCTGAACGATATTATAATAAATCACAAAACTAAAAAATATAACAAAAATTAATAAAATAATTGATAGCAATAATTATTATAATTCAAGTTACTTGAAATAATTATAATTATTATTAATCTAGTTTTTATTTATTTTAATCATAATTATATATTTCATAACTACTGTATTCAAAATTATATTTAATGCTAATTTTACAAAATAATTTAATGCTAATTTTACAAAATAATGAAAAATAATTAGAAACTTACTGTATGCGTCATTCAGTTCGAAGGCAGCTTCTGTAATTTCTTTAATATCTTCTTCTCTATGGCGCTCAAGTTCAATTTGGGCTCTTAACATCGTAGCGTAGTCAGTGGGATGCTTTGTTTTCAGATGGTACCTGATACCACTAGTGGATCCATCAGTTAACTTGATTTGGATTTGACACTTTTTACATTCCCCACACTAAACACCTGACACAGTAACTTTATTGAAATAATTCCATAAAATTGTAGCTTTTATAGGCATGATTATATGATTGAGAATTACTATGGTTTTTAAACAATAAATTAATTAGTTTTGCAAAATATTTCAAGTTAACACAACAATATCGCATTTAAAATGTTATATAATATAATTTGAAGTATTTAATTTAAACAATAATTTCAAACTCTTCATGCGAGTTTATAAACAAATACATAATTTATGTCTGATGAACTTAAAGTTAAAATTTTATTACAGTAAAACGGTTTTACTGTAATAAAATTTTAACTTTAAGTTCATCAGTTTTACTAAAACCTACCTACAGAAGACAATATCTTTTTTTTAACTTCGTTAGATGCGCTAAGCCTTATGAAAATGATGCTATTGCATTGCTTTGTTAATACATTTTTTTAGTTAAACTTTGATTTACGAAACATTGAGTTAGTAAGTATTAAACGTAAAAGTTTAAGTATTGCTCGAGGGCATGGGAATCGTGAAATATCTGTTTGGGCAGTTATGAAATATTCCGTAAAAACCGATAAGAAACGAAACAATTTTATTGTGTTTCGTAAATAACAGTACAAATCGAAAAAATAATTTCACGTTTCGTAACAACAAGATACGAAACGAAACAAGATTTACGTGTTTCGTATAAATGCGATACAAAACAAAATGATATTTTTTGTTTCGTAAAAACGGAACGAAACGAATACTCACATTTTTTACCGTTTCATACCGAACTTCCGAGAGAATACGAGCAGACGCAGACCCTTAATATATATATATATATATATATATATATATATATATATATATATATATATATATATATATATATATATATATATATATATATATATATATATATATATATATATATATATATATATATCATATATATATATATATATATATATATATATATATATATATATATATATATATATATATATATATATATATATATATATATATATATATATATATATATATATATATATATATATATATATATATATATAATATATATATATATATATATATATATATATATATATATATATATATATATATATATATATATATATATATATATATATCATATATATATATATATATATATATATATATATATATATATATATATATATATATATATATATATATATATATATATATATATATATATATATATATATATATATATATATATATATATATATATATATATATATATATATATATATATATATATATATATATATATATACACACAGTAGAGTCCCTATATAATACTTATATAGGGACTCCCTATATAAGTATTATATAGGGAATCGACTTCAACTTATTCAAACATATACATATTTTTGTGTAAGAATTAAGATAAAGATTTTATAAGTTTATGTTAGGCAGCCATCTTTATTGCTATTGTTCGATGATCTTATTATTATTATCAGTTTCATATTTAAATTAATAAAATGACTAAAAAAACTGAAATTAAAAAATAACATATGATATATGATATAAAAGAGTTAAAAATAAATCAACATCAACCTCGTACAAAGTATTTGCCATTCTGCGAATTGTTACAGGGATTTCTTTGTTTGATACGCCAAATATGATGTGCTCATAAAATAACAAGGTGTTTTTTAATTGAACCGGGTATTTTATATTGTAAACAAAATAGGAGGCAAATATACAAGCCATCCCTAATGAGATATCAACATCATTATGATGTTCAACTATTTCTTGGCCATCTATTATAGCACAACAAAATTTTGATGTCAGCTTTTGACCTCGGGGGATTGCAATAGTAGGTGTATTCAGCGTTGGGGTGTTATCAAAAGTAACCAAGGCTTCAACATACTCTTTGAATAACCATGGCAACATTAGAATAGCTCCATTTAATGTAGCATCTAAAATAGTAAAATAACAGAACCATAAAAACAGAAATAGAAAATACAATTCAGCAAAAAAAAACATAAAAATTATTTAGCTATGAAAAGCAGAAACTTTTTGTCATACAATGAACTCTCGATATCTCGAATACTCGATATTTCGAACTTTGGAGTACCTCAAACTTTTTTTGATTCCTGTTGAACCTTAATTTATGGATTATACTCTCGATAACTCAAACATTTGCTATCTCTAACTAACTTCTTGGTCCCGAGGAGGTTCGAGAAATCGAGAGTTGACAGTACTCAAATTTTATTACCTTTTTTAGTACTTTCATCAATTTCACGCTCAATTTCAGCAAATATTTCAGAAATAAAACCGTCTTTACACTTTAATTTTATCAAGGTTAAGATTTTATCTTCCATACCCTTCATCCATTGATGAAGCTCTTTATCTATATCTTTGCCAAATCTTAGTTTCATTTCACTAAGAAGCTTTAATATTATTATAATAAAAGATATTTTTGAGTTAAAACACAAAAAATGAAATAAAGAGAACAGTTAAAAGCATACCAATTCAGCAGAGCAGAGCCATGGGTATTTAGCTTTTAGATCGACTGTTGAAATCGACCATCAAAATCCTTTGCTCGCACAAACCAACTACGTTTTTGGCGATCAATTAGCATACTCATGTCTGGACGAAGTTTACGATATTCCATTAACATATCCTGATGATGTTTTGCTACAGTTAAATCATCCTCACCAATAGGCAGAGAATGTGGCTTAAAAAAAGTTATTTTTCAATAATTATTTCATTTTTTTTTAATTATATACCCCCCTCCCCCCCAAAAAAAAAGGCTAATATTTGCCAAGTCTCTATGTGTCCTACTACAAGCTTCTTCATTCTCAAGACAATCTTCTGCGCCTTTGCGTCCTCTTCCTGGATTGCCAAATGTGCGTTTATGGATAGCAACAGTTTCAATATTGATTAAAGGGAGTCTTTCTTTCTTGAACTTGTTTTTTAGACTTTCCAATAGCGTAGGCTGCCATTATAAGTAAATTTACTTGACATATGCATTCAGATTGTATAAATTATATACATATGCTGCATATAAATATGTATATATGTATACGATATACATTATATATACATATACACTTAAAATATATTATATATTCTTATAACATTATATAATTTATATTACTTATTTATATTAGCCATTAAACAACTTACCAATAGTAGGTATTGTTGTGATGAACTACCACTCCTTGAAGGGAAGTCATTTAAATATGGATACTTGCTACATATGGTGGCAAGCACATCTGAAAATTGGGTACTGGATAGATACCTTTAAACAGTGACACAGCAACCTCACAATATTTTTTTATTGTAAATTTGTAAAAGTTACTGTAACAACATTATTAGGTGTTTATGTGTTTTATTGCCTGTATGAATGGGGTATTTGTAACTATTGTCAGTTATAAAGGTAAAAATAACATTAACACACAAATTAATGATGAAAACAACATCAAAACAAACACACAAACACACAAACACAGAGATTTTTATAGTATATTTCAATGAAAAACACTCTTACAATGTAAATTTGTTGATGTCATCATATAAACATTGTATCAATTGGTTCCTGCAGCTGTTCCTCCTATACTGCAGAAAGCAACGGTCTTTGGATTCCAAAGCTCTAACAACTGCTGGTGGTAAAATAGGTAGTTGATACCGAACTGGCCATGGTGTCGTAGTTCTAATGAATCCAACTAAAATATTCCTAGAGTAACACCAGAGTAACATGCTTCTGATGCACTACTCTGAAGTACGCCAAGGTCAGACACACTAATAAACACAACATTTTTATGTTAGCAAAAAGTTATTTATTAATTGTATTAAGGAATTTAAACTGTATCAAAACTTACTTTAAATTAACTTGTTGTGCAGGCGGTGCTTGAAGATTCTTTATTATTTCCAACAACATAACTTGCTTTCGCATTGTTACACACAAATTTGAAACCATTGATTCTGTTAAACTCAACAACGTTATTCCATCGATTTCTTCTTCTACATTAAAAGTAAATTGTTATTAACATGAGCTTTAAACATCGTTATAAATATCCAACTATAATTTAATTTTAAACTTTAGGGTTACATATCTTTACTTGATCGTTATTGAAAAAAATATCACAATACCATTGGGCAATTTTATATTTATATTTTAACAATTTTCAACAAACTTAATGTTGCGAATAATCTATAAATTGATAAAAGTACAGTAGGAATAACTGAAATATTATATTTGCAAAGTTAAAATTATAGAGATTTTATGAACTTCTGTCATGTTTGTTGTTATTATGAAAATCATTTTGTCATGTTTACAACATTATTTTTATTATCATTATCATTTTATTATCTTTATTATCATTATTAAATCTAGAGTACTAATAGTAAAGTTATTAATAGTAATTATTGACTACATTTTTCTATCAATATTATTGTTTGTGAATCGCTTGATTAACAAATTTGACATATATATTGTGTGCTTTTTTTGTGCAGCAGATTATATCAAAAACAAAAAAACCTTTCAGAATTTATTTATTTTATTTATTTAAAACACAATTATTTGAGCGTAATATAAGAGTCGCCATCTTGTATTGCATATGTGTCTAGAAGTTGATAATCACAAACTTCTGTTGGCAAGCATATTGACAAGGTTTCGTCTTCGATAACTCTGAATGCATGCAAGTGCTCATTATATTTGTCACAAATTAGCAACTTACCACAAAATACACAGTGTTGGCGAAATTGAATAATATTATAAATTTTGAAAAATAAAGGAATTTTTTCTGCATGAAGTAAAGCTAAAATAACGGTATCATGAACATGAAATTGGATTCTATTTATTGCAATGGCATTACACTTCCAAACTGTTTCCTTTTTATCAATAATATCATTAAAAAAAAAGACAGCAACTTTTCTTGAAGACAAGTTGCTAAACTATCAAAGGTAACTGAACATAGATTAGATGTTTCATACTTTTCATTTAAAAAAACCGAAGATGCCATCTCCCAACACTGTCTCAGCTGATGTCGCTTTGCAAGAGAAAAACCTATATTTTTAAAATTTCTAATGCAAGAAGCTAACTTTTTGAAGTACAAATGTTTAGCTTCAAAACGCATGCGCCATAAATATCTCAGGGGTCCATTTTCATTAATCAGACGAGCATAACGGAGCATGAAATGAAACTTGAGTGTTAAATTATCAGGAAAAAGCTCAATAAAATTTTGCAAAAAGTGCTCCACTAAAAATTGAAGATATGATAAAGAAGTTTTTGAAATTTTTGGAGCAAGTACGTAATCAGCAATATCTCGCAGCTGCAAGTACAGTAACCAATACACATTAGATATTGGTATGCGATTACCAATCATAAACGGTAGTAACCGAAACATACAAAACTTCTGTGACGCTGAACCAACAAAGTTAATAGACGCACCAGTACAGATAACAAATGGTACTGGTTTGTTTTTTCTGTCATTTCTGCCAAATTCAAAAATGTTAAGCTCTGTGTTAATCTGTTCTACTGTAATTATATCAAGTGCTTTAAATTTTAACAAAATTAAATTTACTAATTGTGGAACTGTTCCTTCTAACATATCATGCATGATGTCTGGTGGAAAAGACTGTAAAACATTAAAGTATGGTAAATCTAATAAAGGACAGCGTTTATCAACACCGTACACACTAGAAGAAATGCGACCTAGACCAGAAATAGCAGCTAAATGATAATGATGCATTTCATTGGTACGAATTGTTGTATCACATTCAGCCAAAATTTTATTTTTGTTAACATAAGAAGTCATGCAATGACAACAAAAACGACCAGAGTTAAAAACATGTTGAAAACCAGCAAGTGCATGAGAGGAAAGATTATCAGCAGATATAGTTGCAACCCGTCCAAACAATCGAACCTGCATGTTATTAACTGTAACTAATATACCTTCATTTTGCAATGTCAGCAAATCCTGAATTAAAGGTCTTAAAACCTGTTTGTATGTTTTATATTTTTTTATAAACTTTTCTTTAACAAGAATACATAAATTTATATTCTGAAGTTGAGAAATATATTGCTCTTCAATGTTACCTAAAAAGAAATAAAATGCACAGAGCTTATGTACTGAGCGATGAGCCCCAATGGGATTACATAACTCAAATTCATCACAATATAAATGAATTCTTAATGCATTCTTGTTTTTAAAAATGACATGTTGTTTACAAAAATGTCATTAAATACTAGGCTAGTGAAACTTTAGAATACACAATTTAAACCATCTGAATATGAATATAGCAAGTCTTTATTAATTGACTCATCTTTTTCAAGTTTTTGTTTCATTGAATGCCAAATAAGCTCATTTTCGACTAACTTTTTTAATAATGGCAAAATGGGCATATACTGAAAAGTTTCACAGCTTTGTTTTTTTAAACCATATTCACGTTGGTTTTCATTTACGTAGTGTAAATTTATTTCAACTGGCAAAATAAGACCTAAGTTTGACTTACAAAATGATATAAGCTTTTTGCTAGAATTGACCACAGATAAAACTTTTTCTACAATCAAATCACAATTTAAAAGTTGACATAAATCACTATTATTAACAAGGTTTTCCCCTAGTTGCTGCTTTACTAGATCACTAAAAGTATGATTAAAATATGTCAACAAAGATTGAACTTCGTTTGCTAAATCAATTTGACGGAATCGAATGTTTTTCTGCTATTGCAACTACAAACATAGCGTAATGTTTCTGCAAATAACTGAGTAGACTGTCTAGCGAGGATATGGCACCTATATTAGAATCCAAACTACAACTTGCTTGACTGCAGTTGTTAGTGGTAGAATCTATCACAAACTCAGCTTTGATGTTATCCCCATTACTATCTGCTAAAATGTGGTTTTCCATTGTTTCACTTATATTATCAGGCTCATTTGTTAATATTTGAGGTGTGCTAAAAATTAAACTATGCTTTTTGTGCATATGGTGACGTAAACATTTTACAGATTTATATTTGGTGGTGTTTTAGAGGGGAGTGTCCAGTATTGAGAGGTGGTGTTTAAGAGGGGAGTATTATTCAGTGATTAAGTTAGAGTTAAGTGAGTGTTGTTTAAGTTAGATTTAAGTAAGTGCTGTTTTAGTGTTTAGTAAGTTTGTGTAAATTATTGTGTATTGTGTTTGTAGTGTTCTAAATGGTAAATATTTATATGTCAATTAATATCCTTTATTTGTATGAATCTGTGTGTTCGTAAGTACTTTGATTTTCCGTCTGAGTTAGTTTTGATGTTATTATGTTCTTTTTAATCGTAATCTTTCCTATTAACTTATCTCGTCTCAAGTTCTATTTTCCTTCGTTTTCCGTGGGACTGCCTAAAAAGCCGAATTCTAAAACGCCGAAAAGCCGAAATGCCGAAAAAAATGGCGTATTAGTAGACCTGCGGTAACCGTAAAAAAAGACAAAGAAAAGTTAAGCATCCCCCGGATTTTTTATTGCGCATTTGCGAATGCGAAAGTTTAAAGGGACAGAAGAAAAAGCCAAACTTGGCTTTTGCTTCTGTCATTTTAAACTTTGGCGAAATAAAAATTAATGTTTATAAAATTATTTTTAAATTTGTTTGCTAATTTTATATTTAGTAGTAGTCAATGATATTTATATATCATTGGTAGTAGTATAGATAGGATTTACGTAAAAATTGTTAACTAATTAAATTTAGAAAATTTTAATTGGAATTATTGATTGACCTTGGTGCAGTGATATTTTTGTTCGGAAAATAATTTTAGTTTTAGTTTTTATTCAGTTTAGAGGCAAAGTTTTTAGTTCTAGTTCTTATTCAGTTCAGTAAATAAATTTAGTTCTAGTTTTTATTCAGTTCATCTTAAAATAATTTTAGTTTTAGTTTTTATTTAGTTCAATTTTCGTTTGTCGTATAAATTTTTTATCTCATCTAATTATAATTTAGTATAATTTATAAATAATATAGGCATATATAATTAAAAGAAGTAAGTCTTAGTTCTATAAACAAACAAAAAAATGAGAACTTAATTAAATGTAATACACCCAGTCCCATGGCTAGAAGTTTGGAGCCCCGCCCACCGCCCTTAATAAAAAACACAACAACAACCTGTCCTTATTGCTCTAAAACTTAAAAAAATTTCAATTATTAGGTATAAAAAAAACTCCTCAAATTTGGTAACAATAAAAACTAATGAATAGTTATTGTATAGACTTTAATAATTACTCATATATTTAACAAATAAAGGGCCTAGTGATTATATAATTATCATCTAGACTAGATGAGAATTTAGTTTTAAGAAAACTCGCATTTCCAATGACGCTGACATTCGATTTCTCCGTCCATTTGTGAGCAAGCCACAGATTGAAAAAAGTCTTTCAACATATGCTTGAGTTGCAGGAGCTGCAATGAGGTCTTCAGCTAATGGTGCAATATGTGGATAAACAGCACGTCTCATCTTCCAGAAATTTAAAGCATTTTGGCACATAGAGCTGTTCCTTATTTCAATAAAATATTTGTTGAGTTCATTTTGTGCTTCATTACCTGGAATAAGCTTTATTTTTTCTACTCGCTGTTTTGCCGCTAAAAATTTCCATTTTGTTAATCCATTTATTTCTGGAGCAATCTCAACAGAAAGAGTAGATGCACTTACTAAAGGTAAATCATGTTGCACCGATTTTTTAGCCTCTGACAAAATGTATTTCTTTGCACACTCTCTGATTTGTGTATGCTCAATACCTAAAAGAGCTATTGCACATGTGTGGTCAAGTAGACATGCGGCACATGGCAGTGGATTAAAATTAGGATCGTTTGGCTGCAAAAGAACGGCAAAACGACGGCGTAGATCTTCAAGCATTTTAACTGCTACATCTTTGGCATCTCCAAATTGCTCAAGGTGACATTCTAAATTAAGTATTGAAGGTATAACACTGGATAGTGAAAGTGCATCCGTCTGAAGAACATCAGTTTCATTGGCAAAAGGTTCTAAAAGATTGACAAAATCCTGAAGCATTATCCATTCGCTATTGGCAAGTGAATAAATGTTAAGGTCTCCAAGCACTTCGTTGATAGATGTCTTTATTTCCAGAAATCTCCGAACCATAAAGTAAGTGCTGTTCCATCTTGTAGAACAGTCGCTGATCACAGTCTTACCACATTTGTTGATAATTTTTTCCAATGCAACAGAAGATTTGCGAACTTTTCCCACTAATCCACGTACCTTCAAAAGTAAGCCATGATATTTACCATCATATGCAAGTTTTACAACTAGCTGTATAACATGTGCAATGCATCCCAATCTTCTAAATGCTACGTTTTCTATTACATCAACTATCAAGTCAACATGTTCCCACTCTTCACTATTTGTCATATTCTCATCGTTTTCCAGATCTGTTATCTGCTCTTCATTAACCTCACTTTCTAATTCAATAAGTATATCACGTTCAGCTTGAGCTTTCATTCTCGACAACTTTATGCCTTTGACCATGTTTGCTCCATTGTCCGAAATAACAAGCAATATTTTTTCTCTGGAAATATTCCAATATTTTAGGCATTTTTCAAAACAATTAGCAATTTGTTCACCTGTATGTGGATGTTTCACAAGATACAAATTAAGCAGAGCATGTATTGGTTTTTCGGATTTGAAGTGAAAAAAACAAACCGAAATTCCTAAAAAGGACGCAGTAAGACCTTTTTTAGTCCAGCCATCAAGGCATATTGTGAAGCGCCTGCCTTCAGATATGAAGTCACGAAGTTTTCTCGTTAAAACAGAAAATTCTTCATTAAGTAGGCTAGTAATTTTGGCAGAAGCAGGCAATGAAAATTTATAATCCAAGGTATTAACTAACTTTTTAAAACTCGCATTATCCACCAATGTCACTGGATTACATGTTGCAATTATCATTTGAATAAGAGAGTTTAGTCGAATTTTATGCTCGTGTGAATTAATAGGCCATGCGGTATTCCTACGATTAATGCATTGAATCAAGGTCTGGTTCTGATTTGAGGACGATTCTAAAAGATTGGGGCCATTTTCATCCACTGCTTTTCTCTTTATCCCTGTTTGCTTTTTTTCACTTAATTTCTTTAATTCCGACTCTTCCAGCTCAACGTGTACAGACTTATGGTTTCTTGCTAAATGTAGCTAGAAAAAAATAAACATATTTATATAATTTTTTGTTTGTATATTTATATGTTTATTTATCTATCTGTTTATCAATTAATGTATAAATAAGTTCGTATACGTTATTGAATAATTACTCTAAAATGATAAAAATGAGTCGTTTGTTTCAAAATGAAAACATATCCTCTAACAGATAAACTAACTTTAAGATTTGTTGGGTTCTTTCCACACAACTTTGTATTGCATACTTTTTCACCATCAAGTAAAACTAAACATACTGATTTGTCGGATGACGCATCGTATTTAAACCATTTCCATACTGAACTATTCCTCTTCCTACCAGCAAAAAGTTTACTCAAACTCATCGCGTAGTTGTGTTGGTCTTACAGTTTGATTTTTTTTAGTTCAAAAAAATATATTCGAATAAATATATTCGAACTATATCATAACTAAACTTATTCGAACTTAATTGAATAAAATTCAATTAAGTTCGAATAATATATCAATATAATGTATTGTAATATAATAATTATATATATCAAATAATTCAACTCGTTTCAAACCTAGAACGAAAATATTTCGTTTTAAAATAATTTTCGATTCAGTTTTTATTCCGTTCGAAAATTTAAAATTATCGTTTTTATTCTGTTCTCGTTCTAAAAATAAATTTCGTTTTAGTTTTCGTTTTCGTAAACGAAAGGCTTTTTTTTTCGTTCTCGTTTTCGTTCTCGTGTACGAAAATATCACTGCCTTGGTGAACCATCAAGCAAGCGAATTTTCAGATAAATAATTACAAGAAAGCTGTGTTAAGAAAAAAACCTTATGAGTTTGAGGCCCACATAGATTATTATCGTTACACGATAATATTTTATGTGGGCCTCAAACTCATGTGAAAATGAATCCTTGCACACTGAGCAATAGGGTGCAGTGAATTTTTTTTTTTTTTTTTAATTCAGACCTATTTTTGTTTGATATTCATTTTGCCTGGGTGTGCAAAAGTTATCTATTCATATCAGAAATACTCTGTAAAAATTGCAATGCTCTATGAAATTATCTTGAGGTGCCCCAAGGTCATTTAAATTCCCCAAAATCCCCAAAATGTGACCTATCGACTACAGAGTACGGACCACGGACTACCGAGATAGACTAAGACTTTTTTGATATAATAATATTATCATTTAGTGCTATATAATTACCTGCTATAATGCTGGCGTCTGGCGAGTGAATGTGCATGTATTATTATGTAAAATACAAACGGTGTCAAACAAAAAACACAGAATCTAGCAGATAATTGTTAAAATTATCATTTATTTTTGCTGTGTTGTCTTTGTATGGTTAGATCATGGGACAAAAGATTGAAACTGTACGAATGAAGAAACCACTCACCCGCAATGATAACATATGCCCAGTATTTGGCAATGAGCATAAATATTTTCCCAACGTATGCAGATATCATGAAACATTTTATATCAGTAAGAAAAGAATTGTCTGATGGCCATGCCAAAGAAGCTACAATTAATGAAACAACCAGGAAGATATCTGTTGATCTTGAGACAATTTGACACAGAGCATCAATTCCAGTATTATCCCGTCAGCAAATAATAGCTAAAATAAGAGATTACCATGACAAATATTGCTCACTTATGAAACCGTTTAAACAGAGGTCCAAGGACAAGGAGTCACAGTACCTGAACAAAGTTGAAAACTTCAAAATTGACTCAAATCGAATTTTTGATATTGCTTTATGTAAATGTAAAGACTTTTCGACATGTGCTTGTGAAAAGAATTGTAAAGTTCCACCAAATGAAATAATATTTCTTGCAGATCAAAGAACAGAAAGGAAAATGGCTATTGGCAACGTTGATATTAAAACAACAAAGCAGCAGGAAAAGACACTGAAAAGAAAACTTGCAGATGAATTGAGGTTTTATAAATGTGAATCAATAACAAATACTGAAACTTTGAAATCGCATCCAGATTGTAGCTTGCAGGATGATTGTAATGATGTCAGGTTAGGCGATTTAGATGAAGCTATCACCGAAAGAGATAGTAATGAAGATGTTGACTTCATGACAGACTCGCTTACGTCACCATCATCAACTAATAATACAAGCTCACAAGAAATTTCGAACTCTCAAATGTGAACTCCACAACCAATATTAGCTTGTGAATGTGATCGATGGGGAGTATCGGATTGCTCAGCTGCAGCATTAGCATCGGCTGTTTTGGTTGATTATGGCATTATTAATGCACATGACTCATCTGATGTTATTGACCCAAGTAAAATTCGTAGAGAAAGACAGAAAAAGAGAAAAATTTTACAAGCTGGTGCTGCCGAAACATTGGAAGGGTTATATATCGATGGTCGAAAGGACAAAACTCAAAGCCAGATCATTAAAGGAAACAGATATCATCCAGCTTTGGAGACCGAGAAGCACGTTGTGTTTATTACCTGGAACATCTTAAAACATCACAGAGATCTTCACAAAGTATAAAGATTAGCATTGTATCATTTTTGAATGCAAATGCTATCGATACCAGTTCATTGGTGGCAATTAGATGTGATGGCACGAATGTCAACTTAGGTAATATTGGCGGTGTTATTCGACTTCTCGAGCTTCGTTTCAACAAATCTCTACACTGGTTTGTATGTTTATTACCTATAAATGAGTTACCATTGAGACATCTCCTGATTAACCTGGATGGATCCACATATGGGCCAAATTCATTTAGTGGTCCAATCGGAAATTTATTGAAGAAGATGGACTTGCCGATTGTCAGTTTTCAACCAATCGAAGGAAATGTGTTGTCTAGCGTTGATGTAGATGATCTCAGTACAAATCAAAGGTACTTGCATGAATTGTGTTGAGCAATATCCAGTGGCCAATGTAGTTTTGAATTGGGTAATCGAAAACCGGGACCCATGTGTCATTCTCGATGGATAACAACTGCTAGTCGTATCCTCCGGTTATATGTATCTACAGAAAAGCCAGAAAAAAACTTGATCATTCTTGTAACTTACATACAAAAAGTATATGCACCTATTTGGTGATAATATTATAAATGTGATACTTGCCTATCGAGCTCAAGAAAATTGTTGATCCTGTAATCTAAAGAAATGCATACTTTGCTCACCCAGAAAACTTAATAATATTAATGGCAACCGACGAAAGGCCCCACACTCGTCAATTAGCACTAAGACGTGTATTGGCTGCAAGATCGATATCCGACAAGACCGATGCTAAACCTACAGTTAGATTGTTCAAGATACCACCGCTAAACTTTGAAGCAACAGATTATACAGACATAATCAACTGGTCATCAAATAAAAGTGCTGAACCTCCAATGCTCAGGTCAATTGAATCGACTCAGCTTAAAAACAGCATTCTGACCTCAGAAATGCTACAATTTAAAAGCTTTCCATGCCACACTCAGTCTGTAGAAAGAAGCGTGAAACTAGTCACTGAAGCCAGTATGGCAGTCTGTGAACCTCAGCGTGATGGTTTTATTCGTGCAAGAATAGAGTCGCAATCAGCTATGAAAGTCTTTAACACAAAATCTGATTTTAGCCTTTCAAAATGACGTTCTTGAAATGATTAACTGCCAGAAAATAAACTTGAAATAATTGTTATTCTTAATTTTTGTGGCACCTCAAAGTTCTACAATTTACATAAATATATTTTCATTAGGTTCTGATATGATGTTAAAACCATCATACAGGTTTATTATAGCAGAAATCGAAAAACAAGATCAGTTTATTTTTAGCCATTGATTTTTTTGTGAAAATATGAATTTAATAATAATTGTAATTTCTAACTTTTTGGAGATTTTGGGGGATTTCAAAGTCCTTGTGGCACCTCAAGATAATTTACCAGAGCATTGCAATTTTTACAGAGTATTTCTGATATGAATAGACAACTTTTGCACACCCAGGCAAAATGAATTTCAATCAAAAAAAAAATTTTCTAAATTTTTTTCCGTAGGTCACTTTTTGGGGATTTTGGGGGATTTCAAAGTCCTTGGGACACCTCAAGATAATTTTCTAGAGCATTGAAATTTTTACAGAGTATTTCTGATATCAATAGACAACTTTTGCACACCCAGGCAAAATAAATTTCAAAAAAAAAACTTTTTTCAATGTTATCACTGCACCCTACTGAGCAACATTGACGCTAGATATCTTTTAAGGTCCTCACCAATAACTAGCATATTTTACAAATATTTTTAAAGCTATTGTGGACGATGTTAAACAGACTAAAACATTTTGAAACATTGTAAATGACAGAACAAAATGTAACTTTTAGCTTTTTTGGTCTCAGTTCAAGACTTTTAAAAGAGTTTTTATATATCCTTGTTTTGAATCTAATCAAATTGAACAGAAAAAAGTAACATTTAAGTTACAAATTATGCGCGGATCAATTAATTAATCATCTCTGCAGTAATTACTCAAAAATATTTAATCAAAGGATTGAGTACGGTCAAAGACTTTAAAACTGTAAATTTGACAGCAAACATTTTGTTAGAATCTAAAATGTTTTTCTATTGGTAAGGTATCAAAGAAAAAATTTTGAGTGCAGTAAAAAAGAATGTATGTGGAATGCTGTTTTTTAAAGTTAAAAGCCAACAGAGAGACCTAAACAGTAAACGGAACTGCGCTACTTCAAAATTTTAGCAGGGTGACCCTTCCTTCTAAGTTGCCAGTAACTTAAAAGTTTTCTTTGGTAGTTAAGTTTCTCCTAAAGCCGTAAGTTCTTATCATAGAACACAGCGGAGGAGCATTTATCTAGAAAGTTTTCTTCCCTTCCAATGACGGTTGTTGGGTTAGAGCCGGCATTATACCTCCTCTTTCTGAGTTATAGTTATTATCACTGCGCCACGGTTGCTATTTATAAAAAGCCACGTTAAATAAAAATTTATTTTCATTTTATCTAAAAACGATAACAAATGTTATCATTTTTTAGATAATATACTAACAAATATTTGATTTCCTAATATATCAAGCATTTTTCTGAATTAATATTTAGATAACAGTTTTTTGTATCTATAAAACATGCATTTTTCCCATGTTTAGGTGATTTTCTAGAGAAAATTCCTTGCTCAATTAACCTAAAACAAGTAAGAGTTATACTGCCACATCAGGGATTACTAAAACCATACATTTATTTTTATGTAGTCACTTATTTAATGTAGTGGCGAGGACAAGATCGACGGAAAAAAAAGTAAATCAATTAAGCTGTTAAACAATAGTATAATAATCCATAAATATATTTAAGCTCGATTATTTATAAAAAATATAAAATGCGAATTAAAAAATATTGGCTGCACATTCATATTATTTTAGAGAGACAATAAATTTTACAAAACAATATTTAACAAAACGAAGGAAATGCAAAAGAGTAAGAAAACCCAATTTACTATGCGAAACATAAACTTTAATTTTGGAACAAAGAGACTGATATTGTTACATTAACTATGCACAAAATATAATACACAACCAGCCATATAATAAAGGCCAGCATTCATTTGTTCATTTAAAAACTAATTGTCTTTTATTAATTATCACATATATAAATAATACCATCTTTCATCAGGTCGATCTCAATTTATGCTAGAGCAATGTCAGTTTCTTCAACGAAGTTTAAAAAATAATTTCAACCGTTAAAGTCTAAAACTGTTTTTTACTTTTTAATAAATTGAATTGAATCAAAAGTGATTAAGTTTAAAAAATTTGTGAAAACAGCAATTGTCAAACAAAAATTACTGCCAATTTTATGCCTTATAAAGTAACACTTTATAAATGTAGTAAAAATTCTTCTTAAACAACGTTTTTATTTCACTCATCCACAGTAAATTAATTTTTCAAACATTTTGAAGATGGCAGGAAGAAAGTATTGGTAATCTTCTGAAAGTTATTTTTGTTATTAATTCTTGTAGTATATTGAGATTAGTTTGTGTGTAAGTACTTTAATGTCTAAATTCCTTGCCCCCTTGCACAACTTCAAAATTACATCAGCATAGGCTAAAATACATTCAAAAATATTCTATTTTTTTAAATCTCTCAATAAAAAATAACCTTATAGGATGTTTACCTGAAACTTTGGTTAATGAGAATTTTATATTTTGCCATACAAGCAGGTTGCCAGTAATTTCACAAACACTCATACTTAAAGGTAATTTTTTAAAACATTTGGAATAGATGACAACATATGTCACAATTTTTGGGTGCCTATGTTATATAAATCTATTTATGTTAAAGAAGTTTTACATAACATGAAATATATAACAATATATAAAACTATCTACAACAATGATGACATCGGTTTCCTAAAATTGATTTTTTACAACCCAATGCCCTTTACGACATTAACCAGTTTTTCAGATTAGGAATTTGTAACATAGAACATTCCATCAAGAAATAAAAAAATTAAAAAAAAAAAAGTTAAAAAGAAGATTTAATCAAATATTCCATTTTTCAGAGGATAATAGGGGATTTTAGAGGAGATTTAAAAAAAAAGAGGAATTTAGAGGATCTTCGACCAGCTGCAATTAATTTTAAATGTATTCTACAAACTTTTTAAATTCTGATTTACTCCCAACAAGGCAAGCAACAACTATTAGGTTGAGAGTTACTGGAAAAAAAAAACAGTGTATATATATATATATATATATAAATAATATATATATATATATATATATAAACTGTTTATATATATATATATATATATATATATATATATATATATATATATATATATATATATATATATAAACTGTTTATATATATATATATATATATATAAACTGTTTATATATATATATATATATATATATATACATATATATATATATATATATATATATATATATATATATATATATATATATATATATATATATATATATATATATATATATATATATATAAACTGTTTATATATATATATATATATATATATATATATATATATATATATATATAAACTGTTTATATATATATATATATATATATATATATATATATATATATATATATATATATATATATATATATATATATATATAAAATCAGTAATAGCAAAATACTAAAAATTGCTGAAAAAACTGATGCTTACATTTGAAAATATATAATAATCCTCAGTATTAGACAAACTGTAGCTGCCTTAACAGCAAGTGAGTTAGAAACTCACATCAAAAGCTTTTGATAATATACTGCAATATAACTTCAATTTAACAAATATAACTTTTGATAATTTTTTTCAATTTTCAGCAGAAATTTGAAAAAATTGAAATTTGGAAAAAAAAAAAAATAAATAAAAATTTGTCTAATTTTTTCTCAAAACTGTTTACATTTGTTGACTTGACAACTTCCAATGCACTCCGTAATTTTGCTGTGTTCCCAATGTGTTTCATAAATTTGCTGCTCTGTTTATAATGAATTCATATCTAAATATAAACTTACTTCATTCTTTATTGTATTTCTTATCAGGACCTCTGCATTATTTGAGAATATTGGCTTTTTTAAAAATTCTAATTTTTCAATCGAATTAAGAATCTTGACTATATAACAATTTGTTTTTGTTTTTAGTGTGTAATGTATTATTTTTTGTCTTATAATGGGGAATTAAATACTTCCTTTTAATGCTCAAAGAGTCCTGATTCCTCAAAAATTCCTGATGTATATAAAAGTTTTCTTTCCAGTTTTAACAAAATATTGAACTTCATATACAAAGTCCATTTTGTTTCTAAACAGTAACAAATTATCCTCTTACTAAACAGTTTTAATATAATAATCTAATTAGGACATATCTTTTTTCAAAAACAGCACTTTCCAAAAAAAGTTTCTCCTAATGCTTGCATTTGTTGTCAATTTTCTAAATATAAATACACAAGTATACTTATAAGTAAATTAGTATACATATAAAGACTTCAAAGAATAATAACAATAAAATTTATTTAACAAACTTTTTGTAAACAAATTTAAGTTTGCTGCTAAACTAACTACTCTAAATTTAATGCCATTAAAATAAATATGTTTAGCAATCGTTTAAAATTTTAAAACTATTAAAAACTTTCAAGAATTTGTTCTAACATTTCAAATATCTTTTTGTCAAGTTGTATTTTTCCAGAAAACTTAAAAACTACCAAAGTTATATCTATTTTTAAAACTGATTTAAAACTATTAATGCCAAACTATACGCAAATTTTTGTTGGCCTTGTGGAAGTGAATTACAAAAAAAAAAAAAAAACTCTATAAAAACTGATTTAATAATATTTAAAAGTCATCACAAAAAATTAGACCAGCAGCTCAAAATTAAGTTAAATGGGAAAAACTTTGGTGCAAAAAATTTGTAAACTACTTGGGTATAAGCTAGACAATAGCTTAGCCTGGACTTATAATGAAATCTCTAATAAGTTGATTAGATCTCTTGCCATTTTATCAAAGCTAAGACATTTCATACAACAAAAAACTTTAAAAATCTATTTACTATACTTTATTTCACCCTCACATCACATATTGTCTTCTATTTTGGAATCAAAACGTAATGAACCACATATTTATCATGCAGAAAAAAGCAGTCAGGATTATTGAATTTCTACCAAAAAGTACCCATACATTCACATCTTTAAAACACTACAAATTTTAAAATTACATGACATAATCAAAATTGAAAATTGTTTACTTATTCACAGCTGCATAAACAAAAAGCTCAATATTTAGTAAATGTTTTTTTTTTTTGCGGTGCAATTAGCTGTCAACTCACAAGTAAATCTTGTAGAGGTGCACTGAGTGTGTAAACATATAATACAAAATCCTACGGTAAACATTCCTATATTTTGCATTAATGGACTGGAATTAACTTTAAAATAAATCAAAAACAATCCCTTTTTACAACATTAAAAAAAATGTCCTCAAAACTAAATTAAATCAATAGTTGTTACATCAAGATAAATAGAAACAACAATTGTACCACAAGTTATAAAATATATATCACCATAGAAGATATATAAGATATAAAAATGAATGTTGACTAATAGCAACCTTCTGTGTGTGTATTATTTATTTTATTTGATTTATTTATGTTTTGTTTTGTTTATGATCTGCTGGTATGTATATTGCCTTTTGTTGTTGTTTCAACTTATTTAAGGAAAACATGGCTGTTTTCCTTATATAAATAAAACAAAGTACTTGAGGTTTGTCAAACTGATGGATCAACCATACTATTGAAACAGACATACTTCAAAGATTACTTTATATTATGTAAATAAAAATTTTAAATTAAAAAAAAAAAACTAAAAAAAGAAACTTCTTTCAAACCTCTAATTTTCTTATTAAAAATTAAAACTAACACAGATTAAAAAACACAGATTAATTAATCTTTAATCTGTGTTAACTAACACAGAATAAAGAAACATATAGAAAAAATTAACAACAAAAAAATTTACTAAATAAAAATTTTACTCTTGTTGTGATAACAGATTATTGTGCATATTTAACATTAGTGACAGACTTTTCTCTTATTGTGCAGGTTCCACTAAACTTACCTTATTGCTGAAAATCACTATAACTTTGATGTACGATACACAGATGCCATAGCAATACAATTTTTTTTTATTAGAATTCAAAACAACAACTTAAAAATTAATGCGGGGGTTGACTACCGGTTTTTCATTGCTTTCATTCCGTTTTTTTATTCAGTTTCTCCTAGAAGGTTTTTCGGCATTTCGGCGTTTCGGCTTTTTTGAATTCGGCGTTTTAGAAAGTCCCCTTTTCTTTTTTTGTTTTTCTTTGACTAGCTTATTCTGTTTTTTATTACATTGTCGTTTTTTATTTTTTAGGATTTTATCGTCATTCTGTATTTTCATTTTGTCATTTCGTTTTATCTGCTGTAGGTATAGGTTGTTTGGTCTTATCCACAGTTTATATTTTATAATTACTATTGTTTTAGTAGAAATATATGTTTTATCCATATCTTCTATCTTAAAATAGATATTTTTATAGTGTACATATTCCTTTTACTATACTATACTCAATACCTCCTGAGTATATCTATTCAATTTACACCCCGTCTATATTTTATAATTCATATCGTTTTAGTGGAATTTAGAATTCATTTTACTCCGAATTAGTGTTCTAAAAAGTTGATTTACGGGTTGTGAAATTTAGTGCCCCCATATGGAATAACGTGGGGGTGATCATCTACATGGGTGGTCCTCGTGTAAACTTTGTAAATTTCAGTTAGGTTTTAAGGGGTTGTATTCTTATAATTATGCTGTTGTGGTGATTGTTAGTATGGGTGGGCCTTGTGAAAATAAAGTTGATTTTAGTTGTGGCTTAGGGGATTCTATTCTTATACGGCTTTAGGTGGGTTTTAGATTCTAAAGATTGGGTTGCGGGGTGTTAGAATTATTTTATAAAATATGTTTTACAACATATGCTTATAAGATAAATGAGAGTGTGGGATTTGTTGCTACTTTTGTAAGCACTGTTTGGCGGTTACAGATTTCATACAAGATTTCACATCATAGCATGACAAATTCTTGATATCTTAATGATATCATAATATGAGTTTATAAATCAAAACGTACTATTTGGACATTAAAAGAGAAAAACTTAACTTTTACTGTGCTTTGTAACTATTATATGAAATTCTGTTATAAATTAAGTTTATTTCTCAAAGATGTGATATCACTATGATATCATAATGTTGTGATATCACTATATCATAATGATATCATTATATGATATTATGATATCATATAAGCTTGAGAAAGTTTTGATAACTTTCTTTCCATAACATTAATACGTAATAATAGGAAAATTAATAATAATAATAGGAAAACCTCTTACAAGAATTGATTATTACTTTCAAGATGGCTGAAAGATATGCGAAAAAGTATTAAAAAAATAGTAAGACCAAGTAAATAAAACTTAAAACTTGTTTTATCGTTAGCTGCAATTTAAAAAAAATTAAAAACCAAATTGCATTTAAATTAATAAAATTAAAGAGTAAAATATTTGTTTTTGATGACTTATTTTTAATACGAATATATTGATAATATACTATCAATATATTCTGCAAAATATTCGTATTAAAAATAAATCATCAAAAACAAATATTTTACTCTTTAATTTTATTACTTTAAATGCCATTTGGTTTTTAATTTTTTTTCTTATTGGCATATTAATTGCCACATCACCTATTCTTATTCAAAAATACTCCAACTGTTCTAAAGTTATTTTAGTAGTTTTTTAATTTTTTTAGCTATTTTAATATTTATTTAAAAAAGGACATATGTATTTAAGATAACAATTATAAATATCATTATTTTTGGTAATTGCAAAAAATCAAGCAGCATCACCTGTTTTTATTGACCTATATTTACAATTATAACTAAATAACATATTTAAAATACTAATATGAGCGTGTTAATTAAGTACATATTAGTAGTAATAGTAGTAGTAGTAGTAGTTTATGATGTGTTAGACAGACCCAGTGAATGTGTTGTTTTGCACTCTATTTGTTATAGTAATATAGCAATTAAGTTTGATTGCTACTCAGCTGTTAATTAAAAGCTGTTTTAGCTGTTATACTTTAAATTGAAACTGAGTTCCATGCATCTTAAGTTTTGTTCAAAAGGAAATGCTCCCTTTTATTAAGAGGGAGCATTTCTTTTTTGACTTAATTGCAGCTTTAAGAGTCATCTTTAACATTATTGCAGTTCTCAGAGTCCTAAAGCAATACCCTCTTAAATAATTTTAATAAGTGGAAAATGTTTTCCAATATTTATTTTGTCAATGTCATGCATAAGTTTGTATAATTGGAACGAATCTCTCCTTTTTGTATTCTCAGAGTTAACAAGCCTATGGAAATCAATTTATTTTTGAATGTTTATTTAAACAAATTTTTGACAAAGCATTCATAACAATAATTAAATAAGTAAAATTTTTAAACATGAATCTTTTAAGAAGTTCCAAAAGTAGGAGAAAAGCACAAATGAATTAGCTATGCTTGTAGAAAGACTTTTAAATTAGCATAGTTAATAAATGTTGCATATGTAGAAGTTAAAAATTCTGGTTGCTTAAATAACAGTTAATAGAACTTAATAGAAGGACTCAATAGGACTAAAATCCATAATATGATATGACTTAAATCCTATAGATAGAAGTTATTAGGACAGATAATCTATAAATGCAGCAGAAAGGATTTAAGAACTTTCCACAGATAGTAAAAGCAGTAATTATGAAAGTAATAAAAGTGTTATGCTGACATTTAGAAAAGACCTAGTCGATGGACTGTTAAATGTTCAGTACTCTAACTAGAGTAACTACATTTTAATCACTTCTGTGTAGATCTTCCAGCACAAGTTATGACACTATTGAAAATGCCTTAAAACTGAGATGTTACTATAAAGTTAGGTTTGTAAATCCTCCAAGATATTTCATTTGTTAGACTTATTTAAAAATTTAATTATTTGTATTGAATACTTTACTTTTGATATTTCTTTGCAGTTATTTTATTTTTACTTTTACTGTTATTTTTTATTTTTCTTTAACTGCATTTAGTTGCATTATATTACTTCTTTATTGGTTTAGTTGGTGAGTATACGTATTTTAGGATAAAAGATGGTATTTTGATAAAAGATAGTAATAAAAAAAAATTAAAGATGTTATTTTGAGATCTAAGCAGTACTATAGACTTTGTGGTTAGTCTTTAACCATTGATAGACCGCCAATCTATAAATCCATAAAAGTGCAACTATGTTTCTCTGGCCAATCTTGTATCATATTGAAAATATTTGTGAAACCGTTCCATTTGTTGTGACGTAGTTTTGTGGATTACAGATGTCAGCTAGTTTATAAAACTTGAAAGACTTCACGGGGAAATCCTAGGGGGACATACATAAAGTATGTCCCCCTAAGTATGCAGTAAAACCACTGATTAAAGAACCTCTTCCCATTGTATACACCTGTATGCTTTTTATGTCCCCTTCTCCTCCCACTGCATGCATATCTATTATCACAAAATCAACCCCTTTCCCCCAACCTTTTTCCAACGCATAATTTTTTCAAAGAATTAAAAACAAAAATTTTTTAGTTATTTTGACATCACACATAACAGAATTATTAATTTTGTTACTTAACAAAATAATAATTTTTTAAACTCAAGAAACTCTATGCTTGTGTTAATAAAAAAAGAAATCAACTTTTTAAATAAATAGAGAATGAGAATTAGTACACCACGTACATACTTGGTGTCTTTAACCTCCCTCTCTCTTTCTCTCTCTCTCTTTCTCTCTCTCTCTCTCTCTCTCTCTCTCTCTCTCTCTCTCTCTCTCTCTCTCTCTCTCTCTCTCTAGTACGCATTTATAAGTTTTTGGGTAAACTCCTCCCCCCAAACCTGCGTCCATACTTTATGGAAGACTCCTCATGGCAAATGACATTATTTATAATAATGGAAAAGTCATACAAGTAAAAGGTAAAATATTTTAATTTGTGATGCACCAGCTAAAGCTTTTATTTAATCTCTATAATGGTCAATATGGATGTGATTGTAAGGTGGAATAAACCTATGATGTTTTAATGAATTTTTATGCCCACTGTTACTCACTGCTAAAACATTTAGAGGAAAAAAAAATCAGAAAAATTATTACAAGGTGTCTGGATTATTACAGTGTCTTGGAGTCACTTAAAGTAGATACAGCAGTTTCTTGTCAACTTAATTTAAGATGGGGACCTTGCTTGTACTAAAAATATACATTTTATCTGGAAAAAGGGCTGCTTCTTTGATTGTCATCTGGGCAAATTAATTACCTGTTTATTTATGTTCCTTGAACAAATACATTCATAGAATTTAGTTGTAAACCATGTTGTAAAACCAAGTCTAAAATATATTTTTTTCTTTTATATTATTACTTTTTCTTTTATACTGTGGGCAGGTGGTTTTAAATCATATACTCAGCAAAGAAAAATACATAATTTTTAATTGTTAGTTTAAGTGTAGCTTATACTGAACATAAACTGCACAGAAAAGATTAATTGACTCAATAAGGTTATGTTCATGAACTTCTTTGTTGCTTTGAGAACAATGTCAGAGTGTTCTACTCTGATTATCTATTAATTTATAACTTTCATTGTTTAAATCATTTAGCTTATGATATCAGCTATAAAAAGAATAATACAATATCCTTCTCAAGTAGTAGCTCAGAATACTTGGTGACTTAAAGAAATTATCAAGAGCAGCATTTTGTAAAAAAAATTTAATGCAAAGAATGATGTTGCCTCAAGACTAGATGATTTTATTTAATTTTTATTTAATTTTTTTTTTTTTTGTATTTAAGTGTTATTTAAGCGTTGATTTTGTTTAATTTTTAAGTTATATGTTAAATACATCTTCTAATAAAAATTTTCTGTTTATCAAAATTTTTTGATGTTTCTTAATTAATTTGAGTATGCTGAGTCTGAATATGACATTGGATTTTTTATTGCATCAATCGTTTGGTCGTAAAACCAAAAAATCAATTAAACATATAATTAATATAAATCGTTTTGCATTAGATTCTACTTTAGTCAATATAAAACATTTACTAATTCAAAAGTGTTATGTTATGTTACAAAACTTCATGTTACATCATGTTTCTTACATATATTACATAATATTACATTATATTGTATTGTAACAGTCTCTCACAATCTCAAAAAACACTAAAAGTGAACAGTAGAACGAGGTTTTCTTTTATGAAGTTTCTCATCATCGCGTATCAAACACCAGATGTAGTCACCCATCATAGCTGCATCCCATCTGTCCTGGTATCTTTTCTCCATTGCAAGAATATCCTGATGGAAACGTTCCCCGTGCTCTTCACTCACATCACCCAAATTTGGTCTGAAAAATTCCAAGTGTGAATGCAGGTAATGCAGCTTTATTGACATTCTGCATTTCATATCTGCGTACCGTACAATTAAGTTTTCCACTATCTCTTTGTAGTTATCACTCTTATTGTTGCCTAAAAAGCTATGAACAACATGTCTAAATGCAGTCCATGCTTCTTTTTCAACAGCAGACATTTTGTCCTCAAGCTCCTTACATGCCAACATAACTTTAATCTGTGGACCAACGAATATACCTGCTGAAATTTTTGCATCTGACACCTTTGGAAACATCTGCCGAATATGCTGGAATGCTGCACTATCTGGGTTTAATGCTTTGACAAATTGTTTGATAAGACCAAGTTTAATGTGAAGGGGTGGTAGTAAGATCTTTTCAACAGGTATCAGAGATTGATTAATAACATTGTGCGAACCAGGCTGTAAATGTTCTCTCACTGGCCACTCACGTCTTGTGAAGTGCTGGTTTGCAGCCCTGCTATCCCATAAACAAAGAAAACACGAGTACTTTGTGTATCCTCCTTGCAGACCGAGAAGAAATGCTAGCATCTTAAAGTCTCCACATACATCCCACTTGTAACTGTCGTAGTTGATTTTCTCAAGCAACAACTTCACGTTCTTATAGTCTTCCTTTAGATGAACGGAATGAGCTACTGGAATCGAAGGAAATCGGTTTCCGTTATGGAGCAAAACTGCCTTTAGACTTCTTGTTGAGCTGTCAATGAATAATCTCCACTCTTCAGGATTGTGAACAATGCCAATGTCATTGAAAAGACCACGAACGTCATGACAATAGCACAGTGATTCTGATACTACATAAAAGTATGCGAATGTTTCATGTCTTTTTCGGTATTTCGAGGTTCTGCAGCTTGGATCTAATAAATTCCATTCTTTCAAACGTGATGTCAGAAGTTCTGCATTTGATTTAGTGAGACCTAAATCTCGTACTAAGTCATCAAGTTCTTGTTGGTTAGGGAAATAAGGTGAATCATTCGGTTCCCTGAAATCACAGTCATCATTGAGTTCATCCGGTGAGTCTACTTCAGAATGATATGCAGCTGCTTCTTCGGATTGAGGTGGAGTAGGAACAGGCAATTCATCACTGTGTGGAACTGGTCCAATAGAAGATGGTATACTTGGATAAACTAGAGTCAGCCTATCTTTCGGTTTTTTATACTTTGAAATGTTAACAATGCAGAAAAAGCAGTCATCATGATGGTTCGTCGGTTCTCTCCATATTCTTGGAATCGCAAAGGGCATTGACTTTCGGATTCCACGCAGCCATCCTTCCAGAGTTGATCTGCAGCTACCACAACTGTAGTGTGGTGCCCACGATTTGTCCTGATCTCCCATAGCCATGCCAAAATAAGCATGATATGCAGTAAAGAATTTTGTACCACTGACAATCTTATGTTTAGCTTGTGTTGGACTAATATAGTAACCACAAACATAACAGAATGAGTCAGGACAAAGCTTGCAGGATCTACTAGACATATTCACTACTTCATGTAACAGTTGTAATTAGTTAAACTGAAAATAAACACACGAATATAGTTAAAATCAGCATATATATATATAATGTTTTAATTGCATTACACATATACGAAAACTCCGAAATATACTTTATGCTTTTTCTCAGGAAATCTTGATGATAGAGAAAAACCAATGGTACCACTGAAATCAGCATACAAAAATTATGTAAGAAACATTAAAAAATTAACATAAACAAAAATGTTGTTACATGGTGTAATATATATATGAATTTAAGAAATAAAAAATCTTAAGTGTTCTATATATTTTTATCTGGCTGTGTATATTAAAAAAATAATATTTTAATATTAATAAATATTTTAAAAAATTTTTAGATTATAATTCAGTGTATTTCAAGATATGTGCTTTATGAAATCTAAAGTTCAATGAAATTATGAAAATGGCTCATGTCAGGTAAAATAGTAATATACAATACCAAATTAATAAGTTTAAAAATATTTACAGTCAACTAAGCTAAATAAGTTTACACATAGGCAAATGTGTTATTTATGTTGTGGTACAATGACATGTTCTTTTACTAGTCTGTGCTTTTTTTCCAGTGTTTAGGAAGATCATTATTTGCTAAACGTTGTTGCTATATAATTGACAGCACTGTCAATTATATAGTACCACTTGGTACTGATAAATTTTTAGAACAAAGTTTATTTATATTTACTTCATTGGACCCACAAGCTTTATTTACTGTTACTAATTATATATTTATATTTTAAAATAACAAATAATTTGAACTTTTTGAATTTTTTGAACAAACTTAAATTATATAAAATTTTTAAGAAACTTTTTGGGACTGCTTATTAGTGTTTTTTCAATACTGAGGTAAAGGTAAGGTTACTGAGAATGAGAATACTGAGGTAGACCTAGTTTTAAACATTTACTGTAAACTTATACATACTGAACTAATTTTGCAACATTCTTCAATGCTTTTGTATAAGTCTGAGATATAATGTTTATTTATTAATTTTTTTTTCTAGGTTTTCTAGGTTTATAACTGCAATTTGAATTGCAAAGCAATAAAGCTTGTGTGATGGCAATAATTAACTCTTATCAGAAAAAAAATTACAAAATTTTATATAAAACAAATTTGTTGATAAGGTAAAAATCATTTTTATTTTATTAATATTTAGGCAATAATTTACATTTTTGTTGGTGGCTAATATTTTTGTTTATTATTTTCAGCTCGCAACATTGTTTTCAGACGATAAATAAATCTAAATTTTATTTGGAAAAGAGGTAGAATGCAACATTCAAAAAGTGACTTTTAGATCAACTTTGTATATCTGTCGAAAACCCAATTGTAAAGTTAAAGCGATGCTATAGCCGAGCCCATATCTCAATCTCTCTGAATATATATCTGTCAAAGATCGATCTACAAATTTGTGACATTTTCTGTATTTCTTTTTGTTAAGGCTTTACCTGAATATTTGCTGCCTATTATTTTTTTCAAAAAAAAAAAAAAAGACTAAATATTGACTTTTTTTCGAAGCGTTATGTAATATAATATTGAATTTGTAATATAATATTGAATATGTAATATAATATTGAATTTATATTTAAATATATATAATATGACATCTATCAATTTCACCAAAAATTTTTATTTATCCGATATAATTTAACTTTACTAAATAAATAGAAAATTTTTTAAAATAGTTATAAAATATTATTTATAAGAATATAATTAGTTAAATAATAATAAAATGTTTTTTTATTTAAATATAATTAAATTAAATAATTATAGCAGAATTATTATGATAACAAGTTTTGCGTAAACTTCTCATATTTTGATATCAAGTTTTGAGTTCAGAATGATATCAATGCGTGGTTTCATTTTGACATCATATTGATATCACAAACGTCTCATATCATATATATCATAGTTTAATATAATTTTGATATCAAATTCCTGACTGGCTAACCAACAATATTAATACTTTGGCAGTTGCGCTTACACATAGGCGGTTATATGTTATAATAAGTGTCATATGTTATTATAACTGTGGTTACGCTCAAGGGTGGATCTAGGATTTATTTCTTCTTTGGCGAAATTTTTGTGTGTAAGTTTCTGCCCTCCTTCCTCCTAAACCTCACAACCCCATCCCCTTTGATGCACGACTACTATCAAGTGCCAAAGAAACGCACCCTACCAATTTATCAATTATAAATTTTTTCACATCTACCCAAATTCATATTTTAAAAAAATTCTCACTTCACCTAATTTATTATAACATTATCTTATTTATAAAAAATATCATTTTTAAGATTACACTCAATAAATATCATTTGATTGTACTATTTGAACGCAAATAGTACAATCAAATTTCTATTTATTGAGTGTAAACTAATTTCAGAATATATAGTGATGCTCCACCTCCAAAGTATAAAGGTTAAAAGAGTATCTGTCTGGAAGAAATTTGTTTAAAGCACATGAACCACGTCAAGGTTCCTTCCTATTCTTGTGTACGATTTTTTATACAGAATGATTGAAAACGTATGACAGAAAAATACACCATCAATTAGGCAACTGCTTTTCCATGCACATTTTTATTCCTGGATTACATATAAAATATAATATATTATGGCAATGTGCAGTAGTGGATCAAGACTTTTTGGTGCCCAGGAGGCCTCTTTCCATGATTATTAAAAAATTTATTTTCAGAGTTTTTTTTTTAATATATTTTTTATAAACCAAAGCCTCCAAAATTTTGGGACCCATGGCTATAGCACTGACAATCTAACTCCATAAAAAAATATACAAATGTTTTTAAAACTTTAAAAAGTTTAAAGGAAACATACCTACTGAGTACAATCCACATTTTTAGATAAATAACAGATTTAGATAATGTGAATTTGAAAATGTTATTTAAAGAAAATTTTTACTTACCACTGCTAATTATACCATTAAATTTTGGATCACGGAATAAAACGTCGCATTAACATACAATTCTATTGTGGTAAGAACCTGTAAAACACCAACTAACAATTGCTTTTAAACAATAGTTAACAATACTAAACTATAGTGGCAGTTACAAGATTTTATCTAAAACAAAATTCAAATGATAAAAACAAAATATATTTGTATTTATATTTGATAAATGAAGGTAACTCGCAGGTTACACATTACGAATAACTGAACCAAATAAAAAACACAACTCTTAGACAGTGCTTAAAACTTCTAAATTTTGGCACCGACTATCAACTGTATAATTTTAATAAAATAAGGCTGATTAATAGAAAATATATATAACTGATAACTATTGCTGAGCATCAGGCTTTAGGCAGCATTAATCAGTTCTATTTTTTCTGGAAAAAGTGTTGCTTATAATTGACATCACGCAAAATCTTTATCTAAAAAAATACCGCAAAATTGCCTAAATTCGGTCACCATAAAACTTCGGTTATTTATGAAAAAATATAAAAAATGCATGCAAAACTCAAATTTTACAAACTTTTTTTTCTCAAATAATATTTGTAATTAGTTCGTAAATATGAATCTGTAAAAAAAAATAATAATGTTTATATGCAACCTGATTAAATAATTCTTTAGCAAATTAATAATTTGAAAAAATGCATATTATTAAAATCTAAAATAAGCAAATTATAAAAATAAATGATCAAACTTAATCTTATTATTATTAAGAATCAAATTAATAATATTTACAAAAAAAAAAGTTGTTAATTTTTGAAAACTAACTATTTTTTTTTTTTTTATAAAAATTAGTGATTTTTATAAAAAAAGTAATTTTGAAATACTCTAACTTCGGTCATTCACGGATAAACAACGAAGGAGACAATTAGCAGTAATATTGTGAAATGTTGAAAGTGGTGCGAATGTAAAATATAACGCTAACTTTACCTGTAAATTAATCAGTAAATTTTAAGATTTTCATAATGGATACAAACCATGGTATTTTATTTGAATAAAAAGTTTCTTCATAATTTTAAAATTAACTAACGGTTATTTGAGTTCTAATAAATATCAAGCTTTTGACATCTTTTTTGGAGATAAAATTACAGCTCAACGACAATTAAGAATGCGTTGCAAATCCTGTGACAATTGGTTGTTTGGATCTTGCTGTTCTACTACGGTCAAGAATTGCCAATAAACATGCAAAACTCATTTAAAGCAAAGTAGTGTTTTTTTGTTAATTGAAAAAACCTTTTTAAAAAATGTATTTTTAATTTTATAAACCAGTGACGTAGCAAATGTGATAATGGCCTAAGTAATAAAATAGTTGACTAATTACAATAAAAGTTAAAAATACTACTACTTATATTTAAAAAAGCCTTTTTTCATGTGCTACTTCTTGTTTTCTTTCATGCCCCGAAAGAATTTTTTTTTGAGCCCGGGGAACGCCCTCCTTAGTTACTAGTATTATCTGAATTTATATCATAATTTTACAATAAAACAACACTTAAAAATTAGTTTTCATTATTTGTAACGTTAAGTTTGTGATACGTTATTAGTATTTATATAGCGACCGAACTTATGAGATGGTATTGAAAGTTCGGTCAAAATGTATGTTTTCATTTTAAATTAAATATTGAATACTAGTTATTATTTTTCATTTATTTTACTTTTACAATATTAATTATCAATTTAATTTTCTGTATGTTTCAGGAAGAAAATTCAATTTTTTATTTATTTATGCGTCATAAATAAATGTTCAAAACTTAAGTGACCAAACTTAGGCGATATTACGGTATATGTTTACATATAAAAACATCTCAGCAGCAATATTACAAAGCTATGCTAACAGTTTTTACTATAAGACAAGCATATGTTTTTATAATACTATAAAAACGTATGATTGTCTTAGCAAATTACAAACGGCTAGCATAGTTAAGTAATATTGCTGTTGTGATATATATATATATATATATATATATATATATATATATATATATATATATATATATATATATATATATATTTCGAAAATCGTTTTTCTCATTCAAATATTTTATTTAAAAACGTTAAAGCACTTAACGTTTACGTAAAAGTGCTTTAACGTTTTTTAAAAGTGTAAAAGTGAACGACCATTGTCCAATTTCAAAGATCTTTTTACTTATAAAGCTATAAACAAATATGCTTTACGAAATAATAATTTATTAATTGAACCCTTTTGTCAAACAAAGTTTAATCAGTTTTGCATAAACTATAGAGCACCGTATTTATGGAACAAAATTGTTGTTCCAAATTTTGATTTGACAATTTCGTTTTCCGTTTTTAAAACTAAATTAAAAAACTATATTCTTTCTACTGGCAATATATATAAATATTTTTGAAATGTAAAATTCTTTTTTTTTACTCTGGATAATTTGTAAAATTATTTTCAGTTTTTGTTTCTTCTACATTGTTATTAGTTATTTGATCAATTGTATTTTATTTTATTATATATACACGTATTATATCTTTTATATGGTTCTGGCGACAAGATCATTTGGATCTTCTTTCAGATACCAAGATTATATATTGTTATATTGTTATATTACGATTAATAATTGTAAACTAAAATCAAAAAAAAAATATATATATATATATATATATATATATATATATATATATATATATATATATATACATAAAATATATATCAGTGCCGGATATATATGCCGGATCAAGGGGGGCTAGAGGGGCTAGATAATTTGTTGCTTTATTGCATAATAGGATAAAGTAAATAAAACATTACAAACGGTTAATAGCTTTCTGAATATATACAAGTTTATCTTTTTTTTTTTTTTTTTTTATTTATCTGAGTTTTCATGCTATATTTTTCTATACAATGTTTTTATATCCGAAGATATTGTTGGCTTAGCATAGGAACAGCCACAAATAGTCATTAAGACTAATCCAAAGTAGCGTCCGTTATTGACCAACATTTTTTTTGCGTACCGAAGTACTACTCAAGCTCTGAGTTGGCGGTGGCGGGATTTGAACTCGTATCGTTCAACAGTCCGGGTTTTAAATTTTCCTTTAACGCTCTAACCATCTGAGCTATCCCGCCACTACTTCGAGCTTTTGATTAAAGAACTTTACACGTCCAACTTCGAGCTTTTGATTAAAGAACTTTACACGTGCTAAATGCAAAATCCTAATGCGATTTATCGGCTTGTTTATCTAATTTTTTTAAGTTGCACAATTAATTTCCAGACTTTTTATCTAGATCCAGATCAGATTAGGCGTAGTAGATTACTATTTTAAAAAAAATTTAACTTTCGTTACTTAAAGTGAATAAAAATACATACCTCGTACCGAGATTAGATTAGTCAAAAGTTATTTTGCCTAAATACACGAAAAATCCATTATGCCTAATCATAATTTGTAACACTCCCGCGCTGATCGTAGTTAAGTTAATCCTCAGCAACGCCGAAACCATGAATGATAAAAAATGCCGGATGGAATTTTAAATATAAAGTAAATTACATCTTAATAGTAATATATTATTTCTCTTTAGGCAGCCGCTTAATGTGCCAAACCCTATTTCCGCCCCTGACGCTAAAATAAGCGTGCTAACTATGCTAGCATAGAAACGTTAGTTTCTTTGCTATCATAGTTAAACGTTTTTTCTAATACTAATAAGAAAAATCAAAAATAAAGACAACATTGAAAAATATTCAAAATAAAGCAATCTAACAATTAGGTTGTGTGCAATCTAAAAGTTAAATGATGTGTAATAGGGTGGGCCGTCGCTCCATGTAAAAAAGTTTAGTTTATTTATTTGTTTTACAATAGTTTGGGAAAGTTGCCTCAACATACAATGATGAAATTGTGAAAATATTAGATCATTTAGAGAGTGTCTTAATTGACCATAACTAAGACTTTTCAAAGAATAAAATAATTAAATAGATAAAGATGCAAAGTCTTACACGAACAAACTGATTCAGCTACAGCTTTTAGGTCATCAGACAAATAGCGAGATATGTAAACTGTTTGAAAAATATAATGGGCACCATTCTTGCGAAATGAATTAGCTTTATTTAAAAGCCAAACTGGTGCATACACCATCATGATATATGTTACAAAAGTAATCAAATTCTTTGAAGGAGTAGTGGTTGAAACATAGATCCACAATAACCTATTTGCTGCTGTTAACCATCTAGCGTGCGGAATTATTCCCAGTTCCTGTCGTGACTGGTCTGTGAAGCAAATTCCACTTGCAACTGTTTTACACATATAATAAATTTTTTTTTGATTTATGCTAAGTTGAATATTTGTCACATCTGGTAGATCTGAATCAATTGGAACAAATGCAACAACTAGAAATTTTTCACAGTTTAACATTAGCTTTCCAATAACTCCGGAGAATGCACGTTGACCTGATGTAGGCCCATCCAAATTAATTAAAGGTGGCAAAGGGGAGGCTAATTTGCATGGAGTTGGCATATAAATCATTGTAAAGATTTGCCTAATTCCTCTTCTAAAAGTTTAATTACCCCGTTTTTGTGACCTTTTGTTAATATTGGTCTTATTACATCCTACGGCGACCAAATTATCAAATTTTTCGTATCTATCGTATAATAAACAAAAAATAATTCTTTAGCATCTTGTCAGTTATTCTAATATATTCTTTATTTATTTTATAAAATAATTTGTTTTATTTATTTTAAACTCATTAATTATTTAAATTATATGTATTTGCAATAACATTTTGCAGAAACATTTTCACTTATTAATTCGCAAAAGCTTTTAAGACACCTAACTTCTTTTCAAGTAACTCGGCAATCTGATTGTGATGTTTTTTATCGACCCTGAATTTATTGTGATATGCCAAGAATATTTTGATCCTGGTTCCCTTCAAAAGATACGTGTTTTTCAATAACTTTCTTTGTGTACCAATTGCTTCCTATGAGTATATTTGTAAACGTTTGATCTTTTCTTCCATCAAAGTATAAACAATGTAAAATCTTATTTTTACTTGCATCAGTCTCTTGATAATTCTCCTCCTAAGCCTTGCTCTTTTAATTTTGTTTTTGTTAATAACATTTGCAAATCTTCTGGTGTTAATAGTCCAAAACTTTATTGTACGGCGGATGCAATAAATGCTGCTGCTCTATCTGAGATTTCAGTACGAACACATGCTGTGGTTAATTTAGGCATATCTCTTTTTATTCTTTTCTGTGTTCTTGTTTCAGAAATTCTGTTTGGTTTATATGTAATTAAAGAAGAGCATGGCATGTAAAATATTGTTAATGGATTTATTAAAATTGTCAGAGTTTTTATTTTCTCTATTTTTTTGCAGTTTAGCCAAAGATACTTCATCGTCAAATTCATCAGCAATTTTGTTTTTATCACCGTTTTTGATACTATTTTCTACATATTGTATTGTTTATTTCTATTTGAGCGATATTTGCGCTTATAATTTCGTTTGAGTTTTTTTGTTAGAACTTGATCAATCTGGCCGATGAACATCAATCGAGCAGATCTTTGGTCGCTAATGAATGCTTGTTCATGAATTGAGACTTTCCGCTCCCTCTCACAACAATATTTTTTAAACTCACATCTAAAAACAACAATATCAAGAAGACGAGAATGTCCCTCTTCTTTAAAAGAATTTAGTATCTTTTTGTAATTTTTTTGTTGCTGACATTGTTTGAATGGCCTGAGAAGCTTTAAGCATTTATCGTAAACCCTCGGATTATATTCAAGACATGTTCATGCCTAGATACATTGATATATTGATATTCAAGACATGTTCATGCGATGTGAATCAATGCTTTAATCCAAATTTATACAAAACGGCATTTTTTTTTTAAAAGTACTCTTAATATAAAAATGCAACATTTTTTGCTATTACAAGTAAAAACTGGAAAAAAAGATTAGATAGCCCATCCTTAGTGTGCAACTTACAAAATTTGACCTAGTTTTTTTACAATTGAATCTTGTTCAGTGTTTAATATCACAAGAAAAAAGATTTGATTAAATCAGTAAAAAAATCTACATCTCATTGTGTGAAAAATAACAAAGTTATTCATTAAAAATACTTTACTTTAAATGGGTTAGTCAAATTTTAACAAGCTTCAATAAATTTTAAGTTAATTATTGTATCTGAACATTTATTCCTCCTCTGTTTATATTTTTTAAATGGGTTGAAGTAAATGATAGCTGTTACTATTCAGCCACACTTCTTTCAATTAATGTTAATTTACTTATAGAAAACTTTGCATATAAATGTAATCCCGGGTACTTAAACATGTTTATAAAATACGATTGCATAATTTAATATCAACACCGTCAATATGTAGCCTCAACAGTAGTTCTCATACTGCACTCTGCAATTTTCTTGTAAGAACCTCCAACAACTTTTCAAAGTTGGTGAGATGATTTTTTTGTTAAAGAACTTTTCATTTCATTATTGAGGAAAAAGTATTCAAAGCGCTAAAACCACATTTAATTTCAAGGAACCCAATGAATGCTAACACAATAATGTCAAAAGTTCTTCAATCCTGAATTTTGTTAGTTTAGTTTTGGAAAAGCTATATTAAGACTTAATCCAGTCACAACTTGGAAATGTTAATACATAGGAGAAAAGCTTTAATTTATGTCGCTTTAATTTGACATTAGAGATTTTGATTTCAAATTAAATAAATTTTTGACCTAAACAAATTGCATGTTTTCCCTGAACGAAAAAAAAGGAACCACTTAAGACGATTATATTGGACATTAAACGTTTTGAATTGTAACTAGGGGCGTTACTTAATAAACTTTAAAAAACAACATAATATATAAACAGGTCTTACAACTGTCTTTTTTTAAAGGAGGAGGGGGAATGTAAAATTCCCTAAAGAAAGACAAAACCTTTCTTCCTTAAATAAATATTTTATTCGCCCCTGATTTAATCATTTTTTCAAATGAAATAATACCAAACAATTATAACGTTGATTGTAAAATGGAAATCAAAAAATGGTTTGAAATGCAACTAATCGATTAAGAAAGTATTATTGAAAAGCATTTTTTGTCTTTGGAAAAGTTTTGTTTTAAATACATTGTAGTAGTACGCATTGGTATGAATATTTAATTATTAAAGATTAGTAAAACGATTTCAAATATATGCGACATTTTACGACAAATTAATCCTGTTTAAAGACAAAAGAAAAAAAAATCTAATAAACTAAATAAATTAAAAAAGAAAACAAAAACTTCTAATACTAAATGAACTAAAGAGAAATATTATATAATAACAATAATAATAATAATAATAATAATAATAATAATAATAATAATAATAATAATAATAATAGCAATAATAATAACAATGATAACAACAACAATAATAATTATAATAATAATCAAAATAATAGCAAAAAAAGCAATAATAACAATAACAACAATAACAACAACAATAATAAAATAAAAAATAAGAATAATACTAGTAGTAATAACTAAAAAAAAACTAAAAAAAAATCAATAAAATAAATGTTTAAATAAAGGTTTGACTGCGGAAAAAAGCGTCATAGTAATCGATTATAACTTGTATAAGTTACTTCCGATAATTTTTGTAATTCTCTAAAATATAAATCGCTCAAAAACAAACATATATTTAAAAACAAAGAAAATATTAAGACTTCTTTTGCCAATAGATATTTCCTATCTTGCCATCTTGCTATCTTGCCAATAGATATTTCATATCTCGCGTTTTACCTATTTTTGATCAATCTGACAAATTTTTAATGAAAGACTATTTGTAATCCTAATTAAGATCAAACAAAATTCTTTGTGTGTAAAATAATTTTGAGCTGAACTATATCTTGTTGATATTGATTCGAAAAAGTATCTGGTCCTTATTTTACAACATTTTGAATGCACAATTCACAACGGGTGTGATGACAAAAAACTTTGAATGAGTTGACATGAAAATCGAGTGATGTAGTTATTAGCGCTAAGAATGTCTTTCATAAACACGAACACGATAACAGTGTAAATAAAGAAAATCATTCAGAACATGGATAAAAATAAACTGTCGACTTTAGATGTATTTATAAAAGATTCGAGTATTGACAGAGTAAAACTTTTTGCTGAACATGTTAAAAAACTGTTTTTTGTTGAACTTAAATTCACATCAGCGAAAGGCAAGCAATTTATGCATATGGCTGGAGTATGGCTGGAAATACAAGGCCAAGAATATGAAAACGTTGTTAAAGCAAGGGTTTGTTATTAAAAAACACTTGTTTTATGACAATTATTTTCACGATTGTTTTCTAAATCCATGAAACCTATGTTTTTTGTTTGCATTTCAAAGTTATTTACATTGAATTTTTGTTTATAAGACCGCCGACCAGCGAGTGTACATTTATCCACAGTGACATATACGGATCATTTTAATATGTTTTTTTTTTTCTAGCCATTAATATATGTTGTTTTGTTTTTACTTTAAAAAAATATTTTACAAGCTTTTACTTCTTCTTAAGGAGTACGTGAAGGGCTTGTCATCACCGGAAGAAGTTGTGAGAATAAGTTTCCCTCCTCCAGTTTATTATTTACTGTGTGGTACAAACGGAGAAAAGTTATCAAATCTTGAGAAAGAAACGACTGCAAATATTGCATTTAACTCTTTGGAAGAAGTTGAAATATCTGGCTCAATATCAAGCGTAACAAAAGCTTCGTGTTTTGTTGAAGAAATCGTAAAAAAGTTTATTGACGAAAAAATTTCTGAAACTGATACAGATGATTCAGCATCGTCTATTGGAAGAGACAGTGGAATATATATAAAATGTAATAGCGGCTCGGATTGTTTTCACGACGAAAACTCTGATATATCTTACGGAACTCGATCCAGTATTTTAACTGTTGACGAAGATTTAAGTGACGATATAAGTTTAAGTAGAGATTCACTGCTTGATAGAGAAGAATTAAATCGAAGTCTTTCAGAGAAAGGCTTCAACGATATTATTGATAGTGATCTAATGGAATACGCAAGAAAACTTGGCTACAGTGATAGCCAAGTAAAATCAGCAATGAAAAAGTTAGGACCAGATACCGTAGATCAAAATGAATTACTACATGAACTAATAAAAGCTGCAAATTCACAAAGAGACGGAATATCTTTTGAAAATTCATCAGATTTGTCAACTTTTTATGAATCTGTAACAACCCCATCAAATACAGGAACTGCATTTTTGCGTCACGTGGTAGTTGATGGATCAAATGTTGCAATGAGGTAAATTTTTAAAAACAATTTTTAAAACATGTTCTTTTATGCTGTTTAAAACAATATAAGGTGTATCAAATTCTTCGTTTCATTATAAATCTATATCTCTATATTCTCCTTGGACCTTTTTTTCTTTGTACCTTAAAAAGTTTTTACCTAAATTAAAAAAACTAGTCGTTAAAAAAGAACATGAAAATTGAATATATGAAAAGGTTTAGCTCGCAGTATTTGATTTTGACTAGTTAATAAATTTGTAGTATTTAGAAATAACCAACAACAGAAAATTTAGTTTTCTACTTTATGTTGTAAACCAATTTTATTTTTCTACTTTATGTTGTAAGAAAAAAAGTTTATTTATTGCTGCAACTAAAGTTTTGGTTACAAACTGTACATCATTGCCTTCTTGATTTTACAGGTACTGTACATGAATAATGTGCAAAATTAGTTTCTCTTGTTACACAGGATTTTTACAAAACTCTGATTCTTTTTATTCCCAGGTTGATTACTTTTAGAAAAAAAAGGTCTGCATTCGAAATAAAAAAAAATTATTGCTAAGAAGGTTGGCTTTCAATTTCTCTGAGAGATCTCTTAGTATCTCTTCATAATGTCTCTAATAGATCCCTTAAAAGTTTCTTTGAGAGATATCTCTAAATAATAGTAGTACTGCTTATAACATGATTATAGCAACATAATAAAAAACGCATGCAATGTATTGTTTTGAGTTAGATAACATTAAATGTGTGTTATATGATAATGTGCTAAAGTTTATTGTGGTTAATGCAATCACTAATAAAATATGCAGTTTCATGCAGTTACTTAGGTAATAAATATGATATTGTATATGATATGTGTGGTGTTAGAGAATACTTGTGACTTTGTAAGATATGCATGATTTCGTTTATTACATGTGGTATTATATGGTTCATTTGTTTTTGTGCAATGTAAATATGTTAAGAGTTACATATTAAACTTTATTTCATATGTCACATATAATTCTACTTAACAAAATAATTATAGTGCATCACAACGTGTGTTTTGAATCACATAATAACATTTTAGTATAAGATAATAAAATGTTTTGTATAACCTTATAACATGGTTTGTATCGCATAACGACATATTTTGTATCAAAAAGTAACATGTTTTGGGGTAAAAAAAAAGTTAGTAACATGTTTTGTATCCCAAAATTGTTTTACAAAGTCAGTTATACTAAAAATTGTATAACAGACTTTATAACGCAAAATAACTTTTTTTATTTTACATATATATCTCGTATTATAAAAAAACAAAGTGTCTTGAAACCTTAAAAATGCTATTATGTATGTTTACAAAACGTCATCATTGTTTAATGTTTATTTTAGCGTTTAAAACATATTTTAGCGTAATATATATATATAGAAAATAAATAAAAAAATTTCATTAAAAAAAAAATTCATTTTAAGTGTCAAAGAAAAAAACAAACATTAAATAGAAAATTGTTTTTCTAAAACAGTAGTTTTTTAAAAAATAAACGATTTTTAGTAATAATATGTTTAATAATAATTGTTACTTTTTACTTGAGTTCTTAATTTTTAAAATTATTATATATATATATATATATATATATATATATATATATATATATATATATATATATATATATATATATATATATATATATATATATATCTATATATATATATATATATATATATATATATATCTATATATATATATATATATATATATATATATATATGTAATAAATATAAACATGACAAATCATAAAGAGGACCCCGTTTGCATGAAACTTAATTATGAACTGTTATTTTCGGTAAAATCAAGGTACTGGAGTGGAAAAGTATACTTATGCTTGGACACGGTAGAAAGATAAATTTTATGTGCGTTTATACTTTTGCTAATAAAATGATTTCAGGGCAATGAAAACAATTTAGGATGTCTTTATTAACTAGGGCTGCAATAACGAGATGAATTAAAAGTTTTTTTGAGCTAAATAAAAATTATACTCATAAATAAAACAATCAAGGTTAACCAATCGTCTTTTGTTTATAATTAATCCTTGACAAATTCCAACAGAAATTTTCTTTTCTTCAAATATTAAAAAATTATACTTTTATAATAACTTTAACTACGCTTTAAAATTCTTTTCATTCCGATGCAAACAATCATATTCTTTAATGAGTTACAAAACCAGCGTCAACTTTTATCTTCCTTTACTTTCTATTGGTTTTAGTAAATCTTTTATATGGGTTTTATTCTTTTTAATTTATAGTCATGGCAACAATCAAGTCTTCTCATGTCGAGGCATTGCTATTGTCGTAAACTGGTTTCAAAAACGAGGCCATGCAGTAACCGTTTTTGTACCTAACTGGAGAAATGAATCCTCAAAGCAAAATACACCAATAATTGATCAAGAAATTTTAACAAAGTTGAGCGATGATGGAGTTTTGAGTTTTACTCCATCAAGACGTGTTGGTGGAAAGCTTATTCAATGCTACGATGATAGATATATTGTTCGATTAGCCGTTGAGACTGATGGTATAATTGTCTCTAATGATCATTTTAGAGATATACAAAGAGATATGCATGAATGGAAAGATTTTATTAATAAACGTCTTTTAATGTACACCTTTGCTGGCGATATTTTTATGCCACCTGATGATCCTCTTGGTCGACATGGGCCAACGTTAAACGAATTTTTAAAAAAAAGTGTTGAAAAAAAAGGAATACAATTTTGTCCTTACGGAAAGAAGTGTACATTTGGACCAAAATGCAAGTTTTATCACCCTGAACGTCGGTTTACAGGTTCATTTATGAAGAAACCTTTACCACCGCTGCCCAATCAGCCGCAAGAAACTAATAGTGGATCACGACCTCGTTCTGATCCTGGACAAAGTTTTTCAGCAGCACTTGACGGCAAACAAAGACCAATAAGTTTACCTAACCTTGAACAGTTATACGTTTCTCCTCCTCATTCTTTGCATAGGTTTATTTACGTCCAAAATAACGACTTTTCACGTCCTATAAGTGGACCTCCTTTTCAAGGAAATATTAATATCTCGCAAAATATTAATGCTATATACAATATAAACAATGAAATTAGTTTTTCAATGGAACATTCTCATAAACAAAAATTTAGTGGCGATCATTTTACCCCTCAATATTTACTTGTACCGCCACATTGCAGAGGTGAATTAGGAAGTAATAAAACTAATTCAAACATACAAACTAACTGTGATTACGTAGGTAGGCCTTTATCGTCAGATTTTAGCAGCAGACCATCTTCTGGAGAATATAGTTATAGCAGTGAAAGTAGGCCACATTCTGGTGAGTATGGAAGTAATAGTCGTCTATCATCTGAAGATTTTAGCCCAATGCAACAATGGAGTATGGGATTATACCAGAGACAATATAATCATGGGAACTTTTATCCTATGAAAAACTATTATCGCAATACACCGACACTTCCGGAAACGCAGGAAGAGACTCGTCATGCACCGGGTTCATTGAAAATTGAAATTGTAGAACAGCTTCGAGAACTATTTCCAGATCAATATGATAAAATTTTATGGGTTTTAAGGACTTACCCAGAAATAAAGAATATTGATGATGCAATACCCATTATGAAAGAATGTTTAAATACGTAGAGTATCAGATGATGTCAACATTTTTTGTCACTTTTTTCTGTGTGAATACTTTAATATTTAAAATAATCATAGAATTATACCTTAAACTTGTTTTAAGCTTTTATAGTTCAGGAAAATATTCTGTATTGCGCAAAGTTTGAAAATGCGGTAAAGTGGATTGATTATTATTTATCCATGTTACCTTGACAACAATATTTAATTTTATAATTAAAAATATAAAATTTTGTTCAATATTTGTGAAACAAAAGTTGTGATTATTGTTTTAATAATCGACAAAACTATGCAGTGTTATCACAGTTTATTATATGGCTTTTGTTTCATGGAACTGCTTTGAGCTTAAAATCAAGTTTTTTTTTAATCATAAATTTTATGTTCTAGAATTTATATTTTGTCTGCTATATTGAAGCCTGCTATATTTTAATTAAACTGAGGTAATAAAATGAAAAACTTTAGTCAACATTTTGCCCAAATGATTTTTCTTTAATATATTCTCAAAATGATTAGACATGATAAGAAAAAAATAAGAACACTGGTGTTCTAAAAAAAAATAAGAATGTTAGTGTTCTAAAAAAAAAAAGAACGTTAGTGTTATAAAAAAAATAAGAAAGTTAGTGTTCTAAAAAAAATTAGAACATTAGTGTTCTAAAAAAAATAAGAACATTGCTTTTCTAAAGATTAAAATTATTGGAATTTAAATTTTAACGTTCCCGAATTGCACTACAATATCTTATGACTTCTTTTTATTACAAATTACAAAAATAATTTTCCTTCAGCTGATATACTTCATTCATACTTTACATGGAAGAGCGTAGTGCATAACAAAGTTAAAATAAAAATTCTTTCTCCAAGGTAAATAGAGTTTCTCTTCTATTACAACATCAAGCTCTTTATTGAAATCACCCGTCAATTTGATTACATGATCATACTTATAAACTAAACATTATGAAGAATTATAAATTATAAGAATATTACTCGTTAATTAGAAAAAACTCTTTCTAAAGTAGACATACACAGCAAAATCCAAGATTCTAGGTTAAGAACTTTTGTTCTTATTTTAAGAATTTTTGTTCTTATTTTAAGAACTTGATTCTTATTTTAAGAACCTGATTCTTATTTTAAGAACCTGATTCTTATTTTAAGAACTTGATTCTTGTTTTAAGAATTTGATTCTTATTTTAAGAACTTGATTCTTATTTTAGATTTCCATTCTTATTTAAAGATATTTCAATAAAAAACATTGTTCCTAATTTTATAATATTGTAACATTTTGTTTGTATATAATATGTATATATATTTATATATGTATACATATTATATACAAACAATGTTTGTATATATATATATATATATATATATATATATAAACATATATATATATATATATATATATATATATATATATATATATATATATATATATATATATATATATATATATTTATATATACATATATATATATATATATATATATAAATATATATTTATATATATATATATATATATATATATATATATATATATATATATATACACACACATATATATATATACACACACACACACACACTCACACACACACACATACATGTATATATATATAAATATATATATATATATATATATATATATATATATATATATATATATATATATATATATATATATATATATATATATATATATATGTATACATATATATTTATATATATATATATATATATATATATATATATATATATATAAATATATATACATATATATATATATATATATATATGTATATATATATATATATATATATATATATATATATATATATATATATACACACACACATATATATATATATATATATATATATTTACATATATATACACACACACACACATATATATATATATATATATATATATATATATATATATATATATATATATATATATATATATATATATGTATATATTTGCACACACACATATATGTGTATATATATATATATATACATATATATATATATATATATATATATATATATATATATATATATATATATATATATATATATATATATATATATATATATATATATATACATATATATATATATATATATCAATAGATACCTGCAGGTATACCTAAAAAAAGTCAAAGAATTCAGAAAAATTCAAACCACTGAATTTTCCCTTCTGAAAATCCTCCCCACCCTCTGATAGACCTTGTGTTCATGATTTTATGTAATCAAATAGTCTAATCCATTTGATCCATAAGACTAAAATACAAACCAGAAACAGTTGTATACTACAAGAATTTTATAGAATTTGCCTTTAATAAATGCAATATTTATATCTGCGAATCTGCATAAATCTAAACAGCATAAATGTGAATCTTTTGTATGGGCGACGTAGTAGCAGAATAATATAAGTGTAAGGTGCAAGCATGCATAAGAGCAATTTGGTTTGAAGTGCTCCAAAGTTGTGCACTTCTTTATAATAAATAAATTTAATAAAAATGAATAAACTGCCAAGCGACGGATCAAGGAGTTTTAGTGTGGCTAAAGACTCTGCCGCTTCCGCCTAACCCCCCCCCCCCAAACTGTCATTAGCGCCCCAAAATCTTAAAAACCTACAGTCAATTACAAGCGTTATGTTTATGAGCGCATGTTCAAAAAGTTCATAAGAAATTTTAGAGAATTGAAAATGGCTGTGGATCTTAGCTACATGTTCAAAAAGTTCATAAGAAATTTCACAGATTTTAAAATGGCTGCGGGTCTTAGATTTTTTATTTAGTATTTTTTTTTTTAATTTTGGTTTTGTAAAAATTAATGCTGCGACTTATTTATTAAACTCGTGATGAATAGAGTATTTGGACCAAAAGTTGTTTATTGTATTCAAACCTAGCACCCAATTTTTTCATAAATGGAATAACATCAATAAAATTGTATTAAACCAGCAACATATTTTTCTAAAGTCAAATAGATTGTATTAGTAAAAAGCAAATCTCTTTTAATATTAGGTACGCGGAAATCACGATTTACGGAACCGATTTTTGTGCTAAAATTTTGTGATTCGTTTCTTTAACTTTTTTTTAGGTAGCATTAGACAAACGTAATTTTGTAAAGTTTCTTTTTAGAAACATATATACAGATAGATACTTTTTTGAAAGAAGAAATATTATTCTTGATTTTTATATAACTTTTATGTATAGTTACTGAATTTTTTTATAGATTATTTTGGTTCTGAAAAATAGGCTGATGTTCTCACATAAATTTGTAGTCGAAGGAATATTGATCCCAGTCTATTTATTATTCAATCAAATTTCTGCATGCAATTTCTATGCACATATCAAATTTCAACGGAAAAAAAAGGGAGCAGATGGGTTTCAAAGGGTTCTACTACGCATACTGCATTTTTTCGGTAGTCTTAGTAAAACGTACTTTTGTGGTATTTCTTTTTTAAAAAATATGCAAATAAAGATTTATTTTTGAAAGAAGAAAGGTTAAGCGTGATTTCTATATAACTTTTATGTATGGTTACTAAACTTCTTTATAGGTTATTTTGCTTCAAATTTTGCATGAAAATTTAGACGATGTTCTCACTTAAATTTGTAGTAGAATGAATGTAACTCAATTGAGTTACAATTGAGAATACTTTGATCAAAGTATCAGTGGGCAACTTTATAAAAACACCATACATAAATAAGTGTAAAGATCACATACTTTATGTGGTGTTACACTTATTTATCTTTACACTTGTTTAATAGGCTATTGTAAACAATAATTAAAAGATAAAGTAGTATTACGTACGTGAGTAAAAATTTCAAATTTCAAATATTCTACTGTTATATATCATTAGAAAGAGGACCAATACAGTATTTTAAAGGTGAAAAAATTATCAAAAACGAACAATCGGTTCAAAAGTTATGACAGTTTAATTACCGATTTTTCGATATATGGAATTGTTGAAGAAACTCTGGTCAAAATTATTTTTTTCTTCACTTAAATTGTCATAACTTTATTAATTCTTATCAAAATACAAATATCTTGGTGTTAAAAGATAGGTATATAAGTGGGCTACAAATTTTTGTTAAACTCTAACCAACGGGTGTATCGGATGGACAGAGGGGGCACCAAACCACCCCCTTACCCGTATGATACTAAACATTTTTTTCACAAAAAGTAATTTTTCAAGACATAAGTATTTTAAAATATACAAAAACATTGTTATAAAATTATATTTAACCTCCGGAGTATATGAGAGGCGTATGTTTACGTTGGAGGTGGGTGTGGTGGTGATGGTTTGATACACCCTAGTATCAAATAAGACTTGTTTTCATAAATATTTTTATCTTTACTAAAATGAATTCAATTAATAAACAATATAAAATTATGTTCTACAAGAATTTACGTGGTGTTACTATTACGAATTTAAGTCGTGTATGGGAGGGGCATATAACCCCCCCCCCCCCCCAACATTAAAAAAAAAAAAATTTTAAATTAAAATGACACAACTACTGTTTCCTAAAGTCCCAAAACAAAGTTTTTTTCTGTATAAAAAAGGTTCTATAAATTAATACTGGACAAAAAAGAGGGGCTATCAAAAGAGAGGAGCCCCCACTTTCTCCTAACTAATCATTTTTTAAAAAAAAGCATTTTTGATTAATTGGAGAATTTTTGGTTAAAATATTCTCATACAAAGTGATTTCTATTATCAGTCAATAGTGGTAAAAAGGTAATCAAAACAAGGTATTTACCAACCTTTATAAATCTTCAAATCTTTCTTATATTGCTTGATACTAGTTTGGTTAACGAAAAGTTAGGCTGTTTCAAACTAAAAAACAAAAAAAATGTTATTAACACTAAATGTTATTAACACTAAACATTGTTTGATTATTTTTATGATGCTTCATTTCATAAAGTTTTTTCTTGACTTTTAGTGAATGATTACAATTTCAAATTCCGCTAATGAAATTATTTTATAATTATTTTTAACAATAGACACCACGTGAAGGTAAGCCAGAGCCATCTATCAAAAATGCATAGCAAGTCACAACACTTGCAGTACTTTTGTTTAGCAAGTCACAACACTTGCAGTACTATTTTTAGCAAGTCACAGCACTTGTAGTACTTTTGTTTTCAACAAGTCACAGCACTTTCAGTTTTTTAACAAAATAATATCTAGTCAACTCTCTGGAAACAATATCTGCAACAAGCTGAAACTTTTTCATGCAATGTTTTACAGCTTTGATATCCATTTTATTAACCAACCTTTAATAATTTTTAAATCTTTCAAATAGCGCTTTGGCTGTTTCAAACTAAAAAACAAATAAAATGTTATTAAAAAGAAATAATAATGGTTTGTTTATTTTTTATCTCATATAGTTTTGTTGCTACGCTAACTAAAAAAAAAACTACGCTAGCTAAAAAAAAAATTTAAAAAGCGTGGCACAGTTTTTTAGCACAATATTCGGTTCCGTAAAACGGATATTTCCACGTACCTAGTAGGACAGGTCGAATTACAACTTTTTTTGGATTTTAGTGTTTGGTATTATGGAGATATTTTCTAAACAGTCCAAAAACACATCCTGGAAAATTTTATGAAATTAAAATAGTATCTTCATGAGCGATTTTAGCTTTGAAGTGGGGTCCTAAGGCTTTCTGCATAACATTACTGCAGGGTTGTATTATAAATTCAGGACCCAACTAGTTTACATATAAAAAAATAAATAAAAAGCAAAAAGACTGAAAGTTACCTTAAATTTAAGAAAAACAAAATAAAGTACTCTAAATCAAAAAAATAAAAATAATTTGTCAATGTTAGATATTAATTCTTTAACAAATTGCTTTTGTAAATTCTGGTCCGGATTTTATAAAAAAACGCTAATTTCAAATGTAGAAAATTTTCATATATCAGGGATCAGCAACAAGTGGATCGCGAGTCTCATGCTACTCAGTTATTTATATTCCGTGGCTCTCCAGTCTGTCCAAATTATATAATATTTTGATTTAAAACTATATTTCAAACATACTTAAACTGTAATCCTGCGGCTCTTTTTTTAAAATTATTTAAGGAAGATATATTTTAATTATTTTAGGTAGTGACAAAAACCTCACTACATAAAATAAGTTGCCGACGCCTGGGTTAAATAATTGAATATTTGTAAAATAGAAAACTATCCTGATTATTTCAGATAAGTTAAATTTACCCAATAAGTTAAATTTTAATACTGATTATTGAAAACCTTTGAAATAACTGTCAAAAGATGAAATTATATAAAAGATTTCGTCAAAAAAAAAATGCTTTTAAAAAGATCTTTTTATTTATTTAGAAATTATTTTTAAAATGTTCAACCACGCGAGGAAATGACTAACTCGAAAATTATAATACATTTTTGTTAAATTTTATTTTTACATACACAAGTAGCAATAAATTAGTTTTTAAATTATCATAAAATATCATCTTATGTCTCACCATAATAACATTTAGACATAAAACTCTTTCTATGCTTTCTGCTTAGAATTTTTGCTAAAATATGCTTATGACATGCTTCCTTTCCAAAAACAGTATGAGAAGCCATGGAAACAAGTTGTACAGATCTCTCAACACTCTGTGAATGTGAAGGAAGATCTGGGAGGTCAATTTTTTCTCCAGACAACAACTTTTCTGCAATCTCTTTATTAGTAAAATCTTGAGTTGTTGCTGGTTTATCTATGTCTTCATCAAAAATATTTATGATATATACTTCTTCTGACTTTAACATTGAGTACAAAATATTCTCAGAAAGTAAGCAAAAGGAATTGAACCTTAAGTTTGCTAAGCAAATATCTTGCACCTCTTTTCCTTGGAGCTTGATTTGGTTAATCATAAAATGTATAATTGATGGAGCTTCGTGTAACTTATTGCTCTTTTTATGGAGGAACCATGTAGGAACATAAACTTGGACAACATAAGTTACCAAAATAATTAGTTCAGAATCAGGAACTACTACTCGGACATATAAAGACATCAACTGGATTGCCAATGTTAACCAACGAGAATGATTTAGGGGACTAATTTTCTAACTTGAATATTTAACACTCATATTTCCAGTGGCAATTCCAATGCAATATTCATATAAAAGCCTTTGGTCACTACTTAAATCGTCTAAAATTTCTTTTTCTAAAATAATAATTGGAGACTTAATAACACCAAAATTAACAACTAAATTAAGCTCATTATTGATATTTGCCATTTTACCTATTGGTCCAGCAAAATGGTTTGGTGAATTTGTTGCTCCATCAATTTTTTTAAACAAAGATCTAAAAGGAAGCTCATTCTGATGAAGATTGCAGCCTATAGTCTGAAGTTTTCTTCCAAGTTTTTTCTCTAACTCCACAACCATTTCTGCTTTATGACCTGTGTTTGTTGAAGTATTGTCTACCAAAACTGCTTTTAGAGTGTTTAAATAATCATACTCTTCAAGAACTTCATATAGACACTGAGCTTGCTTTTTTCCTGTTGCTCCAACAAGAGGTAAAACTTTGTGAGTAAGATACTCCCCACTGTAAAGGTTAGGGAGAGGTTCTTCAGTCACAGTAATGTGATGTTCTTTTTCTGTTGATCTCTTTAACACAACCTCGCCATCTTCTTTTTTTATTTCTCTTATAACTAAAGTTTCATTATCAATTTTACCGTCAACACCAAGGCAAATAAACTCTCTGTTATTTTCAACAGATTTTAAGTCTGACAATACTTTAACTGACTTTTTTTGTCTGTCTATTTTGGATTTGTCTAAAACTAAAGTTGATATTATTGCTGGATCATTAAACAGTCCTGATAGATCGTGCATAACTTCCTATATCGTTCCTGATCAATTCAATAGCAAACTTTGGAAACTTCTAAAGATTTTAAATTCTAGATGGATTTCTTTCAGGCTCCCATATCTAAAAGAAAAGTTATGAAGTTCATTAACAAAAAAATTTAATCTAAAAAAGTAATATGTTAAAAAAAAAAAAAAGTAAATTTAAAAAAATATAAAATAGTGAACCAAATTTCAATTTATTATTTAATTACCTCACTAGAGCTAGAAATGACAGATTCTGAATCAGATTCTGGTAATACTATTTCTGGAAGTAAATTAAAATTTTCTTCTTGTAATGATTCTTCCACATTTTTATATTCAGTTTTATGTTTTTTTAAAGATTCTTTTCTAGACCATTCATGATCTACTGAGCCAAGTTGAAATGATCCTTTTGGACCTGACTTTTCTCTCTGGTCTTTTAAATATAACCTTTCTTTTACAGGAATCTAAATATTATTTGATAATATTGAACAACTGCATATGAAATTTATAGTATTAAACTTTATCATACTAGTAATATACTTATGTTAATTTTATTTAAAAATTTTTTTATTTTATTTATCTATTATTAAAAAATAAGATAGTACTTTTTTATCTGGACTACATGTGCATAAAATATGAGTATCATGACAATTGTTATGACTACATTTTATATTTTTATCACCACAAAAAACAACTTTAAGATCACATGTGCAGGAACTGATATCAAAAAGCCTATCCAATTTTTTAGAAGTGTTTTTTTCTGTTAACACTTTGCATTTACTTCGGTTAATTAACCTAGATATGTTTAGAAGTACTCCGACTTTTTTTCTACACAATAAGTGGACATTAATGGTAGTCGAGTGTTAACTTTTTTCCATATCATGATTATTTTTTCAGCTATAAGTTTTACAATTACGCTAAAGCAATAACTTGGATAAGTATTGTTAAGAAAATAAAAATCTTGAATAATCTGTCTGTTTGTGGGTGGTTCTGTATTTGCAAGAGGGTTAGGACTTCCACCAAACTTGCTTTTTGTGCAATTTCGTGTTTTACGCTTGTTTGAAAACATTATTTTTCGTCCTCTAAAATTTTCTTTTTCCCACACAATTATAGGATTTTTTTACTTTGCGTAAACACGGCAATCTTTATTTTGTATGAAAATGTTAGTGGTAAAGATGGCGTAGTAAAAAAAATTTAATTAAATATATCAATATTTAAAATTATTTTAGCTCAACTTAAACTTCATTAAAACAAAAAAAATTTTACAAAGCACATTTTTTTCACATAATAATCATATCTCTTTATTACCAAACCTCTGATTCCAAAATCGACCTGCCCTAGTACCTAGTAGTATACAATTTACATATTCCATTATCTAAACATGTGAGTTATTAAATACAAAAATAAAGTAGTATACAATAATGTTAATAGTCAATAACAGTTTTAACTTTTTTTATTAAAATTCTTTAAAAACATAAACTTAATCATTAAGTTAATGTTTTTAAAGTGTTTTAATAATGTTTAAGCAATATTAATAGTATAAAAGATAAAGTTTTTATTAACTAATAATATTCAATAACAATTTTATCTTTTATACTATCAATATTATTTTATATTAATAATTTTGAATTATAATTTTCAAATAATAAAAAATTAATAATTACTAATTTATTGTTTACTACTTTAACTTTGTAGCAATATTCCAAGTGTTAGTTTGTTGTTTGTAATTAGATTTTTTTTTATATTTTCATTGTTAATTTTCTGTTTAAGTTTTCATTTTGCCATTTATAATGGTAGATTTGAAAAAAGTAAACAAGAAATGACAAAGCAGAATTTACACTATTTCTTATTAAAAACAAGATGGAACTGATATTGAACTGTCAAAAGATTAAAAACTCCAGCTAGTTGCTGTTGTTATATCAGGGAAGTTTGAATTTTCTTAATTGGAATATGAAATTAATGTAAAAATGCTCACAGTATAGCAAGTTTTGTAACCAGCAAAATAACTGCCACAAGTTTTATGGCTTTCAAATAAGTTTTGCAAGTTTTGTGGCTTGAAAATAAGTACAACAAGTTTTTTGACTAGCAAATAAGTGACACAAGTTTTGTTGCTTGCAAATAAGGTACAGCAAGTTTTGTGGCTTGCAAAGAGGTACCACAAGTTTTGTGGCTTGCAAATATAGTACAGCAAGTTTTGTGGCTTACAAATAGGTATTGGAAGTTTTGTGGCTTGCAAATAGGTACTGCAAATTTTGTGACTTGCAAAATAAGTATCGCAAGTTTTGTTGCTTGCAAGTTTTGTGGCTTGCAAATTGATAGTTGGCTCTGGCTTACCTTTACATGGTGTCTTTTGTTAAAAGTTATTCATTTTGTTTCATTAATGTAATTTAAAAATTAAATTATTTACTAGAAGCCCAGACAAGAAATAATTACATTTTTTATTTCAAAAAACTTGTTTTTTTTTGTGTGTTTTTTTCTCAGGTTATAGTGGTTAATCTGTTTCTTTACATAATAATGTATACTCAAATGCATCTTGTAATGTGGTAAAATAGTTTTTTATTTTAATTTCTTTTTTTTTTTAAAAGCATTTCTTTGTTAAATTCCGACAGAGTAGGGGGATGGCTTGCTCCTCTTTTTATAAAGACAAATTATACACCTCTAGATGTATAAATTGCCTTTATGAAAGGGGTGCATAAAGGCAATTTATACATACTATACTACACTTTTTTATTTCAAAAGGTTTTCGGGTATTTTTTTTTAGGTTTGGGGTGAGTAATCTGTCTTTTTACATGACAAAATGGTTACTCTGATGCATTTTGTAATGTGTTAAAATATTTTTTTATACTAATATATAAAAAATATTTTAACACATTACAAAATGTATTGTGTTAAAATTCTCTCTGTTTTTTAAAAAAGCATTTTAACATTTTTTTGTGAAATTTTCATAAAATTTTTTTTTTCAGGTTCATAGCAGAGGGAGTATATGCCCTCTTCCATCAAAGCAATCCATACACCACTAGTTACTCTTTGATATAGTGTTGAAATATATTTTTTGTTTTTTATAATAGATTTAATCATTTTAGTAAAGATTGTAATAATTAAAAGAATGAAATTTTAATAGGGTGTGTTAAACCTTCTCCAAAACCCAACACCCAACTTTAAGATAGACTTGTAATATTTGCTAGTGATGTGGAATAAATAAATAATAACTTATTGTATATAAATATTACTTATTTTTTTTTAAAAAACACTCTATTTTGAAAAAAAGTGTATTTTTGTGAGGTGTAGGTGGCGGATTAGCACCCCCTCTGGATCCCTCCATGCGCCCTTTACCTAGAAACTAGTTTGAAATTATAGCCCAATTTTCAACCTATCTTTTGATACTAAGTTATATATATTTGAATAAGAATTGGTAAAGTTATAATTTATGTAGAAAAAAATTTTTTTTTGACCACAGTTTTATCAAGAAATCCATATATTGAAAAATTGCTACTATAAACATTATATTTTTTTTATAGAATTGTCTGATTTTCATAATTTTTTCATCTTTAAAATACTGTATTTGAGGGCTTTCCAATGATATATAGCATTCTAGTATTGGATCAATTTAAAAAAGTCAGTCCACGTACCTATTAATATAAATTCTATTTCTCAAACATACTACAAACACTCTAATATGATATATTATATATACTTATAATTTATGAAGCAATAATTTTTTATGAATATCTAATCTAAAAACAAGATATTTAAATTAATTTACTTTCAAGAATATCACTTTAATTCTAATATTCTTTTCTTTCTATTTAAAATCAAATTGTGTGCTCTTGTTCATCTATTAAATTGTCTATTTGTCTGAAACCACACACAAGTTACCCTGCCTCTTTCAATCTGTAATTTTTTTACTTCTATAAAAAATTCTCAAAATTATCTTCCATCTTTTAGCAACCTTAAATTATATATTCTAAATCATTGTTCAGTTAATTACAGCATAACAAATCACATCACAAACCAATGCATAAAATCATGAAATAATTTATCATTTTTTATTCATAGAACAATTTATTTTTTATATTCACTTTATATCACTAAACTTTACTAATGTCTTTTTATTTTGGAGAAATGTAATTACTGTTCGTAAAATGTTGGGCTCAATGTGGGTCATTATTATTGCTCTTGGTACGATTATAAGTAATATAAATATCAACATTATTTTACTTCTATTCATATCACTATTACTTATTGTTTTTGTTTAATATTAAATTTAATATTTATCAATATTATTGTTACTATTATTATTGTTATTATTATATTAATATAAATATAATTGTTAACATTACTTACCTCGTTATAATTGTTTTAATATTGTTATTGCTATTATTATAAAATTTGGATTTTACTTAAGATTAGTATTAGTACTATTTCTAAATATCCATGTTTTTGTTGCATACATACACATATATGACATATATGTGTGTGTTTTCTTTTAAATAATTGCAAGTTTCCAAATACATGCAAAGTAAAGTAAGTAAAGAAAACAATACTTTTCAATTAGTAAATTTAGTATTATTAATTAATTTTAATTTTTTACATTTTTTATCCTTATTTTTATAACATGATCAATTAAAGTGCACTAGAACTTTGTTCTGGTGCATTTTAATTGATCTAAGTATAGAATTTTAATTTATTAACCTGGGTAAATAAATTTCCAATTGAGAGAGTTGATAGTTGCAGCATTTTTAGAGAAATATCAATGTTTCCCTAATGTGCTATTGGTAAGATTTTTTTTTTCATTTGTGATTTCATATATTTATTGGATAAAATGAAATAGTGTTTGAAAATCACAAATCCTTTTTTAAATAAGAAGGTATTTTCCAAACTGCTATGTCCTCTAATGGGTTATTCTATAAGTTTTCTCTGCTTTTTAAAGTTGTATGCTTTTTTTATTATTATTTAATTCAGATTGTTGGCGACATAGCTCAGCAAGAATGAAGACATTGATACACTTTTGCATTATGGAATACACAAGTTGGCAGTTCCTCACCCATTGCCACCCAAATACAGGTAGGTATGCATGCATACACAACCCTTAAAATTTGTAAAACTAAAATGAGTAATAAATTGTTGACTTTAAACTGTTTTATGTTGGCATCAGATTACAATCGGCAAACATAAAGCCATTTTTACAAAGGTTTTACTATATAAGATAAAAACGAGGTCAGCAAAAAAATGCTAACCTCAGGCATTTTTATGTTTTTGCTTGGTTAGGTTTAGAGTTAGTTACAATAATGTATTGAAATCATTTAATAATTAAATAAGAAATGTGTTTTTAGATAGTAAAGTTAAACACTTAATAAAGTACTTGCTGCAATTACTTTCAAAAGACTAAAACTGGACATATTGTTTTAGAAAAAGCTGTAAGTTTGTATGTTTTTTTGAAAACATTTATATATATATATATATATATATATATATATATATATATATATATATATATATATATATATATATATATATATATATAATATACATCTTAAGATATGAAAAGATATTATTGTTAAATTTTGAGTTTGTAAATTTTATTTTCAGGTATAAAAAATCCTTATCTGTACGTAACAGACGATGGAGACGAAGTGATTATTATGTGTGGCAAAAGATTATTTTATGAAGTTTTTCATTTTCTGACTTTGTGATGGAACTTATTGGAGTACACTTTTCTTGAACATAGGAGGAGTATTGCCGCTACAAGCATGAACAATAATAAAACATTCCAAAGATTAGTTTGTTATTTCAACGATTATATTTGTTGTTTAAATGTATAAATGCTTTTTGTATATTCTTATTATATATCATCCTAATTTCATAATAATGTTTTATTTTTTCCATAGAAAAAGTACTTTTGTAATATTGTTTTATAGTTCAGGGAAAATATTATTGAAAAAAAAAATAGAATCTTATTTTAAATAAAAGTAACATTAAAACAAGTGAAAAATGATTTTTTTAAAGGAATTTAGCTACTGAATTGCTTGCGGGTTTGTTTTCAAAAGCAATCTTTTTTCATTAACAAATTTTTCATTTTTAAAATAGGCTAATATTTCTTCTGAGTTTGCTTGTTTGTTTATAATTAAAGTTGTAAATGCAAGTAAAAAAAAACAAATAAATTAGCATTGAGAGCCCATTTAAAACTAATAAACTAGTATGAAACATATATATATATATATATATATATATATATATATATATATATATATATATATATATATATATATATATATATATATATATATATATATATATATATATATATATATATATATATATATGGTAGAACATCGTGAATATACGGTGTACCGTGATTATTTTACGGTGAAATACGGTGTACCGTGATTATTTTACGGTAGAACATCGTGAATAAATCACCGTAAAACGCCGTTATTTTACGGTAGAATACCGTGATGAAACAGCGTGAATTACGGCATAGTACCGTGATTAATTTACAGAAATGCCTCGTTCATATATTGTACAACTATATTGTACAATATAAATTGGTACAAAATATACTTTTACTATTTTCTAAAAAATTTTCGCCCATTTCATTTTGTCTTTTTTTTCATTTAATTCAATTCTATTTCAGTTTTTTTTTTCAATTATAAATATCTATCGACATATATGCTTGTTTATATGCTTATGGCGACGAAAACACGTCATATTTTTAAAAATCTTTTCAATTTACATTATTACATAAATAAAAATAGTTACTCAGATAAATTAAAAGAATGTAAATAGGTTACAAAAAAACGCAAACTTAAATTATGTGACATATTAATATGACGTTATATAAATATTTATATTCGAGTTTAAGAACGAATGAAATTCAAAAAAAAAAAAAAAAGTAAAAGACATTATTGTAAAACTTTTGAAAATTTACAAATAAATATAAATAACTACAAAATAAACTATTTTTTCAAAGTTATATTTAGAAGTTTAACTACGTGGTAAATTCAAATATAATTCAATCTTGCAAACTTCTGCAGTATTGAAAGCAAAATTTTGCTTATTGATGAAGTCTTCTTCGTTCGCCTTGATTTGCTCCTTTCTTCAGGATTGATGCCGAAAAATGCACTAGAACGGTCAATAATATATGTATAAGCAATTGACGTTTGAAAACATTCTCATCAATAAGTAAAAAATACCATTAAAATCAAATACAATATAAACTTTTTAAAAATTAAATAAATTTAATTCAACATAACATAAATATTATATATCGTTGACAAAATTCTAATATTAATGAAGCTTCTTTTGGATATGGTATATTGAAAATATAAAAACTCAAAAACAAACAACAAAATGACTTGACAAAATTGGTCCTTCCATTAACCACAACAATGCAATCAATTACAAGCATGCTGTAAATAGCAAATTTCCTAAAAAAAGAATGCAAGTTGACCTAAAAAAAATCCACTTAAGTTTATATAAAGAAAAATGATAGAATTCATCCTTTTTTTACAAAATATGTTTCAAGTTTTTGATTTTTAAAAACTTAAAACATATACGAACTTGTAAATCAACCTGCCATAAACTTTTCATTATCTAATGCTTTTATCAAGAGTTCAATATCATTCACTCCACACATCAAAACATCAAAGTGATGTAGCAAACTATCAAACTAAATATAAAAAATCAATTTAAATACATAGATATACTAAAACTAAATAAAATGAACTTCTACAAAAATCAAATTGAATACTATAAAAATGAAACATCTATTTATTTATCATTATATAGATTAATAACATAAGTTATTTTATTTTTAAATAAAAAGAACTTACTTTACTGTAAATAAATTGGAGAATTTTATCAACAAATCATTTGACAAGATCTTTCCATTTATTTTAGTTCTTTGTAAATAGTAATGGAGTTCTTCAGGACTGTTTGAAACACTGAGAACTGGTTCTTGGATTAAGTAACCATAACTATCTTTTTTTTTTTCATGACATCAACTAATAATTGGGATCCCTCTGTCATGACCCCTACCAAATACTGTGGGACCATATTCATCTATAAACAATTTAGAATATTTGGCAACCATAGAAGATGCAATAACATTTAAATGTTTTTTAATGGCGTAAGCAATTAGCAAGAATATCATTCATATTAATGCTTATAGTTGCACATGTGCTGTTGAAGGTCTTTCTCCAGCTACAAATATATCTTGTGCCTCTTTAGACATTTTGGCCTAAGGTACAAAAAATCTCAAATACCAATCAGCAGCACTTACATTTTTAATCTTTATTGCTTGACAGAATTGAAACTATATTTAAATTCAAGCAATTAAATATTTAAAGTACACTTTAAATTAAACATTTTATTACTTACCATGTTTTATTAACAACTTTTTTTAACAAATAACTCAAATTAGCTGAGTTATTTTTCACTTCAATTGTGGGTATCGTTTACATGCTGGATTGTGTGGCCACAATAAAATATACAGGGTTTTGAGATTGTTCTGCAAAAAACGTTATTAACATTATAAATAAAACATTATTAACAATATTATAAATAAAAGTATATAGATGTATATGATAAACAAAAATGATACTTATTTTATATATATATCATAAATCTTTTTACCAGAGCTTTCCTTTGTCCGATATTCAAGGAGTTTGTGCTGTTCGATGGGTTTTAGCAAAACCAAATCCTCAACTCTTACCAGGCAGAGATATTTCATTTTCAACACCTATTTCCAAAATATTTTTGACAACCTGTTTCAAAACACATTTATCAATATTTTGCAGTGTTTTTAAAATATTACTCTTAATAGCAAACATTACCTTAAAAAAAGAAATATATATATGAACATCATGTGTATATAACAGATAGATATAGATAATATCTATATCTAGTTGTGATATACTTCAAGATGTAATTGAGAAAACAAAAATTGTAATTAAGAATCGTAAGATGTAATTGAGAAAACAAAATTTGTAATTAAGAAACGTAAGATGTAATTGAGAAAACGTAAGTTGTAATTAAGAAACATAAGATGTAATTTAGAAAACGAAAATTGTGATTAAGAATCGTAACATGTAATTGAGAAAATGTAAGTTGTAATTAAGAAATAGAAAGATGTAATTGAGAACACGAAAATTTTAATTTAGATATCGCTTTAAAGGAGTAAGTGTAAAATGGCGCTTAAAAAAAATGGCGCGTAAAAAAAATGGAGCGTATAAAATGACGCACTTAAAAATGACGCAAGATTTGTAGCGTAAATTTAATTTTTTAGGGAAAAAATCATAAATTTTGGGCAAATGAATTTAACATAATAAACACTAAAAACATTTTAGGGAAAAATTTATAACTCAATTAAAAATTATAATTAAAAATTATATAATTAAAAATCACTTCATTGATCATTTAAGCACCAACTTGTACGTCTTCCATATTTAAAATAGTTGCATAGTGCGTGGTTGTGTGTTGTACCGCACGTGCACAATCTCCTCCCATTATAGTATTTTTCGCCTCAATTACAATTAGTTCTAAATACTGCATGCGCTGTTCCGCAATCCCGTCACCTAATACAGGTGGAATGCAAATTGCATTTTTAACGTTACTTTTAATTTTGGAACAGATCGTTTCCACCGGGTTCAACATTGGACTGTAAGGTCCCAAACGTAACAACTGAGCTGGTGAAATATCAAACACCCTTTGCAAACGAGCGTGACAAGGAGCATTATCTGTTACGACGACCAAATCCTCCAAACGATTCCCGGATGTAACCCACTGGTGAAACATAGCCAACATCCACTCGTTACAGGAATCTGCTTTAAATGATCCCCTGCGAGTTTCTATCATGACGACATTTGTAGTTGAAATAGCTGCAATCAAGTGTATGTTTAAACCTTTTGAAGCAGGTACTTTCATAATTGCTCTTTTTCCTTGTCTCGCGCGTCCTTGCGCGAAAATGATTGTCAATTAACATTGGCCACCAATGTTAATTGACAATCATTTTCAATCCATGTTAATGTTTCTTCGATTTGATCTTCGGTCAACTTTTTCCGTTTAAAACCTCCTTTTCCGATGAAATTTGAATTTCCGCTGCGAACCTAATTGTATGCTGTCTTATATTTGATACCTAGCGTTTGCGCGAGATTCACCCAATCTTCAAATCGCTCCGCACATTCAACAACTCTTCTCCTGTCATTTGGAGAAGATAAAACGTAACGTTTCCTTTCAACTTGTTCAGTTGTGTGTATTTCATGCCGACAAATCGGACAACTTAAATCTGGTTGTTCCAGAACTGGACGTAAACAAATTTGGTGACATAAATGTTGACACGGATTTAGCTTAATCACAGACTTTCGGGTCATAGTGTATTGGCATATAACACAACGATCTTTCAATTCCATTATTATTACTTGTGCATACAAAAGCAAAATTTAAGATTATAACTTAAATTCATGTCTAAAAAGACCTTTTGTAACAACCTACAAACTTAGACTGTGAATTTGCTATTTTAATTTATGTGTTCTCAATTACAAGTTACGATTTCTCAATTACATATTATGATTTCTCAATTATATCTTACGTTTTTTCAATTACATGTTGTGTTTCTTAATTACATGTTACGACTTCTTATTTACATGTTGTGTTTCTCAATTACATATAACGTTTTCTCAATTATATTTTGTGTTTCTTAATTACATATTACGACTTCTTAATTACAACTTTCATGTTCTCATTTACATCTTGAAAAGGTGTAGATATTATCTATATTATCTCTGGTATAGATATTATCTATATCACAGCTAAATAACCTAGCTGTGGTATAGATAATATCTATATCACAACTAGCTGTGATATAGA